ACCTTGACGACTTCTTGCGATAGAAACTCAGAAGATAGAGGTCGACATTCGGACCAGATGCTCGGCGGCCTAGGAAGGAGAGTTTTAGAGGGGTGAGAATGAAGTAGTTGGTCAAGGAGTGTGATGTGCGGCAAGTCCCGTGCAGCAAATTCCCCCTGTCACAAACCACAGCTAGTCTCCTTGAAGCAGACTACCCACAAGGCCTTCCGGTACTCAAAACCTGAATCAGCATATAAGGCACCAATGTGCTGAGTGCAAAGTCTGCCTTAGGGAGAATAACCACAGTCGACTATGCTTGTCCTGGTCGAAAACTAGGGGCTCCATGTATGCAATTTACGCGAATCGTTCTGATCAAGGAATGCGAAATCGAGTACCAAATAGCCCATCACGAGAGCCATCGCAATGGCCCGCATATCCGGTAATATGTTCTGAGCTTTCTGGGCTTGGAAAGAGCGCCAGAACCCGAAGCCTGCGTGATCACCCGTGGAAGAGTTTTGGGTGGTTTTGAGCCTGGCCAGTGGGCTTAGTACGGTCGGATGTGCAGAAATGGCCAGCTCCGAGGGGGATAAAGCAACTTTTCCCGGACCTTACTTTCGTTCAGCGGCACTCCTTCGCTTCCCTGCGAGCTTGTTTCCGCTACTTATGCAATCCGACTCAGAGAAGGTCACTTCGCCACGAGGTGGGGGAACGAGTGCGTATGCACGATGCTTGCTGTGAGCAGCTAAGTGATGACCTTTGCAGAATCCAGAATCCTCTACATGGTATCCCGCGGGATGGTTACTGGAACAAGTCCAGGTGACGGTGCAGGGCTTTCCTCGATGCATGCCTTGACCCAATCATCAGACAGGCATTCGCACAGGAAAAGGGCCTGACGCATATCCTTCCGGAATTACGGAAGGGTGCTCTGCTCGCGCAGGACCCTACCAATTTCGAAAAGATCGATCTCTTGGACGATGCTGACCGTGCGGTCATCCGTCTCGAAACAACCCATAAGTGGAGACAACCGCGCGCGTTATATTTGACTGGTGCGCTCCGGCACCGCTCATCGGGCTTCATCCAATGCGAAGCGGCTCTTAGTCATTCTCTGTTCTATTGCTGCGGCTGTCCAGGGCTGGGATCAAACTGGTTCCAACGGAGGCATGCGAGACTACCATAACTGTGCTTGCTTCGATGCTGACAATGTCCCTTAGCTAACTTGAGTTTCCCTGAAGAGTTTGTTCTCTTGCATTCTACCGATACGCCCTTGCTCACGACTTTGACACAGATTTGGCATCAGTGTGTTCGTCATCCGCCATGAGCCTACTGAAACCACTGTTTCCTTCCAGCACCATGGACGCAGATCCCGCCAAAGCCAGTAGGAACCAATGGATCGTTGGCGTAATCAACGCCGCTCCGTACCTCTCTGCTTCTCTAATCGGGTGCTGGACTACGGACCCGCTGAACAACCTCTTCGGACGTCGTGGTGCTATCTTCATTTCCGCTATCTTCTGTGAGCCAAACACTTTGCCTTCTGTGATCGACGATAACCGCTGACCAGGCATGTTCTCGGTCATCGGATCTGGCTTCGCACAAACATGGCCCCAGCTCTTTGTCACTCGCCTGTTGCTGGGGATCGGGATGGGGCTGAACGGCTCGACGGTGCCTGTCTTTACATCCGAGAGCTCACCATCATCTATCCGCGGCGGCTTAGTCATGTCGTGGCTCATGTGGATTGCATTCGGCGTCTTTCTCGGCTTTTGCGCCAATCTGGCTTTCTTCCAGATGGGCCGACTCGCGTGGCGCTTTCAACTTGGCTCTGCCTTTCTTCCCGCTCTGCCGCTGCTCATCGGGATCTTCTCGTGCCCGAATCGCCGCGCTGGTTAATGAAAAAGAATCGTTACGAGCAGGCATATGAGTCACTGTGTCGTTTGCGCAACTCGGAGCTCCAGGCATGTCGGGATCTATTTTACATTCACTCTCAGCTCGAGAAGGAGTTTGCCGCCCTCGGCAAGTCGAGCTATTGCAAGCGGTTCATTGAACTATTTACTATCCCACGGATTAGGCGTGCCACAGTCGCCAGCTTCACTGTCATGATTTCCCAGCAAATGTGTGGAATCAATGTCAGAACACAGTCTGCATCGCTCGCTTCTGCGTGACCGACTCGTTAGCGCAGATCATTGCATTTTACTCCTCGACTATCTTCCGCGATGCAGGATACAGCACTCTGAGCGCATTGTTGGCATCGATGGGTTTTGGATTGGTAGCCTTCATATCTTCCTTTCCTGCTGTTTGGGTAAGCCCTCGCTTCGAGTATGAGCATCGACTGAGCCAGCATTCAGACTATCGATAGTAAGCCACACTTCAGGTATCGCTCACAGACAGCTATCGACCAATCAACCCTAGCATTCGGACGCCGGAACTTACTGCTCTTGACTTTCCCGAACATGGCATGGAGTCTTTTGGCAGCTGGCCTGTGTTTCTTAATTCCATCCAACTCGAGCGCTCGCGTGCCCTTGATCGCGCTCTTCATCTACATATTCACTATCTTTTACAACTCTGGCGGAGGCCCGGTCCCAAGCACGGTGTGTTTGTCGCGCTCTACTTCCACGGATTCAATGGCTCATGGCATTGTCTCAGTATGCTGCTGAAGCGTTCCCGCTGACCCACAGGGAAATGGGCATGAGCTGGTGAGTATCTTTGGCTTCCGTGACGCATGTCCTGACAAACTAACCATCCAGGTCCACCGCAACGTGTCTGTTCTGGAGCTCTGTTCTGTCCGTCACCTTTCCTCGACTTCAAGCGGCTACCGGCAGCATCGGCGCTTTCAGTTTCTACGCCGGTGCGACTTCGAATCGACGCGAGACGAGGACTAACACGCTTCCCCAGGCTGTAACGTGGTCGCTTTCCTGATGATCTTCTTTCTCGTTCCGGAGACGAAACAGCGTTCACTCGAAGAGCTCGACTACGTCTTTAGCTTGCCCACTCGCACACACGTCAGTCATCAGGTCAACCACTCTCTGCCGTACTTCTTCAAGCGATGGATCCTCCAGAGAAAGGATACCCAGGCGAAGTCTTTGTGAAAGAGACGAGTCGACAGTCCAAGGACGGGAAGCTCAAACGGTGTACGTACCCGTATGTAATTGAAGTATGAAATTGGAGAATCCCGGACGAATGGCTCCTTGAATGGTGTCGGAAGGCTAGCGTGAGGATACACATATGTCACCGGCGTCACCAGCGTCATCCTTAGAGTCATAGTCTTTGGGTTCGTCGGTCTGCTTGAACGAGACATCCAGAACGGCCAGAAAACTCGGCTCCAGCACATTTTGATAACGTAATGATTCCCACGAGCGGAACTTTGCACTCCAAATCGGAGTCGCAATATTCTGGCTGCAGGTCTCCAAATTACTAACGGCACTCCAATGACGAGCTAGGGTCAGCCCTGGGTGGGTGACACGATGGTGGTCAAGCGGGACAGTTTCAATCGAATCTTGAATGACATCACGTTAAAAATCAAAACTTTTATTCAAATCTTCATGCAACAGCTCTCTCATTCCGGGTGGTAACTTCGGTTCGGAACCCTCGGCTACATATCCTGACACCTCGTTTCAGTGGCGGGAGCGGTATCAAGGACAGCCGATACGCACTGAACGGCATCTCTACGCTTTCCTTGGCGTTGAATGTGATAGTCGGGAGATCCTGTGGCCAGACACCGTCGGCTGAGATCAGAAACGAATAAGACGTGACACACGATGTATGGAATTTTGTCGAGTGGGACTAGGAAACGATCAGAATTGTCAGCTTCACTGAACACGAAGCGCGCACTTTTGTCTTGCACCACGAGCTTGGTCACACCGAGTGCGGTATCCGTAGTCATCTGTACCGGGCCCAAGTGACGCGTGGGGAAGCCCAGTACACGCAGTTCAGAAGTCCGATCTCGAGGAGGATCGTCGCCCAGGATGCCCTGTAGTGGCTGGTCTGAGCATGGCGTGCACGCAAGAACCTGCGTGACTGACCCCGAACAGGAACCACTCAAAGCGCCCATCCCCATCCTCTGGGGCCAGAACATTTTCTGCTTTGGGATCAAGCAGACATATTTTAGACTTGGCGTCGGGTCCAAGTAACCGTGCCATGAGATCGAGGACGCCCTCTTGATGGCATGCTGCACTTGCTAGTCCGCCCGCCGGGGCAAACACTGCAGACAATGATTCGCGCGATGCAGAAGTGAGGTGAGTGAAGTGAACGGCAGAAGAAGGACCCGCGAGTGTGCGCATGTGCTGTTCGGCTGGATCAGAGGTGTGATAGATGGATGGAGAATGAGGACCGACGGTGTACTCGAGTTCTACCCAAGGAGGGATAGCCCTGACCGTGTCGTCGTCGTCCTCCATGTGTTCTTGGAACTCTCATCAGGAAGATTCGCGCTTCAACGCGTCGACATACCGATAACGTAGGTGAAGCCCATGATGGAAGAGATCAAGATTGAGAGATTGTGGAATGCCAAATAAGGCACGCCGAGCATGCCACTTCACTCACGAATCTCACCTCCTTACTATAAGACTCTCAACCGATCCCGAGTCCAACAATGAGAGTCCTGCAAATGGCACGCGTTCATCGTGCACTCAGATTGGATACCAGTGACTGCAAGTCCGGGCTCACGCGACATCAACGCGGTAGTGGAATCTCTGATGTCATAGCTGGCGTCAGACTCCTGTTCTTCTTTCTAACTCATGCGCCCTCTGTCTCTATGCTCTCGTCTACTGAGGCAGACCCAGAAAATACCCACCCCGGCGGTGCTTCACTGCCATGCTGCGCGTCGTTACACCTCTAAGTCCTCCCTCAACAACACGACCGTCGAGCATGCCCACTTCCTAGCGGATGCCGCACCTTCTAGTAAGTGGAAACCGGTCCCAGCGTCGGACATAGCGCCCGCGAAATGGATGGAGCTCGCGCGGATGATCTTCCTGAGGGGAAAGGTGAATCGTCTGGCCGTTCGGTACTAGTCATGGCCCTCCAATCTTAATTGCAATTCTTGCACAGGGAAACTCGCGTCGACGTCTTCACATTTATTCAAACTCATCTTACCGTTGGGGATGCTGGACTTTGGAAAAGAGGGGACCATTCGGCTTGAGAATCATCAGAAACACCCCCCACCCACGGTCCTCCTCTTGCATCCTTCACAACCACTGTCACACGTCAGCCGCCTCATCCTAGCCTCTCTGGATCCGACCACGCTACCAAAAATCTCGTTCCAAAGTAAAACGCGCAATGGACGCGACTTCCAGTGGTCTGATTCAACAGATATCGGAGATTTCATCCGAGATGCAGCGCAGGCCGCACATTTCACAATCCATTTCACGTCCGATGGGAAGCATGACTCTGGCATTGCTCTCGAAGTGGAGGTTCCCACTGCGGCCGACAGAACTCGCTTCATGCGACGCCGACTTCAGGCGCTCAACACTCGTATGAAGAGTATGGAGAAACTCAAGCTGGAATGTGACCGGGAAGCACACCGCAGCGCTAAAAGGATGGCCACGGGAGGATTTGGAGTCTTGGCTATGTACTGGGCGTTGGTGGCGCGTCTGACGTTCTGGGACTACGGATGGTGAGTTACTTCTGTCTTCATTCGCTGCTCGTGTCTTACTGTCTCTGAGGGATGTCATGGAACCTATCACGTATTTGAGTGGTCTCTCTACCGTGATGGGTGGTTACTTGTGGTGCGTTTCGCAACAGATATTACCAAGTTTATTCTCATCTTACCCAGGTTCTTGTATCAAGGCCGAGAAGTATCCTATTCGTCCGTGCTTGACCGGTCAATCTCGTCGCGAAGACACGCTTTGTACAAGGCTCGCGGGTTTGATATCGAGAGATGGATGGAACTCGTGACAGAAGCCAAGGCACTGCGGAGAGAAGTGCAGCGGATCACCGACGAATACGACGATACGCGGTCTAGAGCCGACGACGAGCAGGAGGATGAAGATACGGAGAAGGAGGAGGAAAAAGAGAAGGGGAAGGAGAAGGGTGGAATTCTGTCGGAATGAGATATCTACCAACGGCAGGAATCTAGATCTCTTGAGCGGTTCCCACATTCCTTATACCTAGAATACAAGTTTGGCGAGCTGGGCAGGTGGACAGGGGACACTTATTTCGCGCTCTAGCTGTGCTTGGAGGTAAAGAGCATTTGTAATGTGACCCTGACTCGACGCTATTAGGGTATGTGGTACTTGGTGGAACGAGCTGGCCCTCCGGCATTTCTTCAATGTTTGCCTCGCGTTCCGCAGGAGATCCTTACGATGATGCATGATGGCTGGGCTTCGCCGCACACCAGCGGATTAAAGGACCAGGTAATCAGTACGAGGGTCTGCTACTTTGGCTAATCTCGAACGCGTCTGCACTAGAGCGCCGAGTAGATGCCACATCAGTGTAAGCTATGGGAATTACGTCATGAAGTCGCGGTCCCGTGACAGGAGACCACTTGCGCGCAGCGTCGCACTCCCAGATTCAGCACCAGGTGAGCGTCATATGAGATTTCAACTATGATATACATCTGCATATACGGTATACTTCTGATAACGAATTCAAAGCAATCAAGAATGAGAAGTCGTTTCGATACGGGATCGAACTCAGTGCCAGGAGCATGATCAAAGGTCTATCAAGCTCATGTGACTCAGTACTGGCTTTGACTCTCTCTGACACTTAGCCTTTGACACGAATGACAACGGCAATGCGCGAACCAAGTCAAAACCAAGTCATACGCCCCATCGAGGGGCAGTACTATTTAAAGTGCCTGAAGCCAGACCAGATCTTCATCGGTCTGGTGTAAGCTCAATCAATGCACTCGGATCCACTCCCATTCGAAGGCGACGCCCCGGACGCACACAAACTCATCTACGAGGTGTACGAGAATACATTTATAAGCTCCATGGCATGGAAGGTGGGAGGATCCAGTGAGTTCCTGGCCCAGCCGTTTGTATCGCCATTGCGTTGAAGCGTCCTCGCGTCCATAGCGAACCATATTGCCGTCGCCTGTTGGCGGACACTCTGCAGAGAGAAGGAGGAGGAAGAAAAGGCCAGGAACGCCCTTCTCGGACCAGGAAACGGGGCTATCCGAACCCTCGACTTGTTCCCAATCCAGATAGTCGATGTCGTATATGAGGTCCGTTGTTTTTTCAGCTCTACAAGCCATCAACATCCTCTCATGCGATCATTGCCCGTATCTAGGTCCTTTCGCACCTCCACCCTCTGGATCTGAGCCACGTGGCGCGCGCAAACAAGTTCTTCCGTGGACTGCTGCTCTCGCCTCATGCGAATTCAATATGGAGGGCAGCGTTCGACATTGATGTGGTGGAGGATCAGAATACCTTTTCGATCCCTACGTGTCCATACCACATTCCTGGAAGGAGATGGGCCAAGCTGTTGTTTGGGGCGGATATCTGTGAGGTATAGCTTGTTCCGTTGGACAGATACAACAGCGCTCATGTTCGCAGTTCTGCGATGCGTCGGACACAAGACCGGATTACACAATCTACCGACGTCTGTGCACCAGTTGTATGAATCAGGAGTACTTGTTATCCCCGATTCACTTGATCATTCCCTCATCTCGACTTTCCTTTAGACTATCTCCAGGGGTCCCGGGTTATGACTCCTTTCATTCAGTGCAAGCTTTGGTACCCCAATCATATCGCCATGGTGAGCTGAACACCAGTTTAATCCTCCCTGAACCATCATTAAGCCGCTTGCAGACGGCCGTCAGATTAGACCGAATTCCGCCTTGGGGAGGATGTGGCCCGGAGATGGCGCCGACTTCGCGAGAAAGTACACTTATCTGGCCGAACAATCGCCTTCTTCAGAAGGTTCGTTCAGCGATAGTGAGGCCTCTACACCGCTCCAGATGTTTGTGGTCAGAAGCAAGAAGATCCTCAGAGAGACCGAAGACCGCGCGTTAGAGGCTATGGACTGGGCAGAAAATATTACCGATAATGTATTCTGGGACGCGCAGATACGTGCTCACGCTGTGACGAAAAGGTTCAGTGACTCTGTCGAACATTTGGATTCCAACGTGACTCATCAGCTCCGCAGAGCCATTAAGCGACTAATCGAGGAAGGCCACAATGCCCAGGATGTTTCTCTAGCCGCGGAGAACCGATTCTCTGAAAGCGTACATTTGATGCACTTTCCTCGTTTGACGTCTAGACGTTGGCACAAAATCCGACCATACCTTCTTCCCCTTGTAGAATCTCATCGGGAAGCCCGACTACTCCAACAACGCCTTGACCTCATCCAACGGCGGAAGGTCACGTTCCTAGCTGCTGTCGCTCAAGTTCTCTCCAACGCTCCACACCAAACTTGGGTATACAATCCCCCGTCATATACACTGGAGACCATGGCCGGTGTCAGCGAGCTTCTGAACGATCCCTCAGATGGGGAATTGGCTCCCAACGATCTACGCATCTCCGACATCTTGTCTGTCCTGGGTCAGTTTGTCGCGAATTGGAGACACGAGAAGAAGCGGCTCTTGGCCTCACTGCTTCCGCGTTCAGAGGAGAATCCTGACATACAGAGGCTCGACCTTGTGACGAGTGTTTTCACTTGCCTCGGCTCCTGGTCCGATTGGTCGCTGAACACTTCCGGACGTTCGCTCATCGGATGGGCTGGGGCAGGTTCCCACCTGCAATGTCGGAGTCTCGAAGTATACTGGGATCGCCGTCTCCATTACTGTTCTGAAGGTGCATCCGCGGCTGTTGAGCTGATGCGACTGGTCGGGCTTGATCCTGCGACGACGACGGTCGACCAGATGGATATGGTCTGTGGGACCGGCAGACTGTGCGGCAATGAGAAACGCTTCATCTGTATGCTGTGTCCCGCTGTCAGCTGCAAAGGTGGTGTTGGCCGCCCGGTGATGCACTGGCGAGAATGCGTTAGTGGGAACTGATCTTGCCACGATGTCGAGGGCTGAACAAGTTGTCCAGGTCGCTCATGTGATCAAGCAGGTTCGCGATTCAAACAACGAAGCACACAGATCCCCGTCCTGGGGTCTGCTCTCAGAGGAAGCGGCAGCTCATATTCGACGTTTCGAAACCCTCGATCCCTATGTTCTCAACGATGCCTGGTTCTGTGCGCTGTGTCCAGCCCATTACGACAACTATAGACCACGAGCTGAAGTCTTGCAGCATGTCCGGGACCAGTACGTCATGACTCGATGTGCTCGGTCATCGCTAGAGATCCATTTCTAGACACCACATCGCACGTCCGCTCGACGGTGCTCACTACTTACACAATCCCTCCGTTAATCGGACCCCTAGGTCTCCGGTGATGCTCGCTCAAGAAGGCCAGATCCCCGAATTTCGATGCAAGCATTGCCCTCCGGGTGCGACTCGTTTATATCCGCTTCGCAGCATCACGCGCCATCTGGCAGACAGGTATGAGTCAGCTTTGACTTCGAGCACAGATGGTTCCTGACCGCGTTTTTCAAGTCATGCGATTGCAAGGCCAGATGAGCGAGATTGGAAGGTTGTCAGACAGATCCTGCGGGTTACTGTATAATCAAGCTGTCGGCAGAAAAAGCTCGCGGTCTCTCCGAAGTACCTTTTATCGCTTGTGGTCCTTTCAAATTAGGATGTTCTTTCAACAAAGAGGCTGCGCGTCGGCGCAAACATGGCGAAGCCGAGTTTGTCGGGAACGCCGCGGCCATTGAGCTCGATGCTCGATATAGCTACGTGTCCCAACGCGTCGGTATCCATTCGCTCTGAGTACGGCATTGGCACGCATCTGTCCTGCTCTCGACTGCCATGACTCAAAAACCACACACGACTGTTAATAGGCATGTTTCTGATGACCTCGAGATCTATCGTATCTTCCGCGAATCGACCCTGCTGAACGCAAGAAGCAACTAACGAGGACAGAATCGTTTTACATGAGCGGTGCCACTCGGGCGACCCTGAAGGAACCCTGGCCAGATGCGTTCGGGTCTGGAACCACTCGAGCTCTTCTACGTCGTCCGTCATCCTCGCAATCAGCGCTGTGCGACTTCGAACCGACAAGTGTGGATTTTGGGGTGGCGGACAGACGGTCTGGCCATGGCCGGAGATCTCATGCGTCGCTCGAGAGACGGCGCCGGGGCGGTGTTAGGCACGGCGAGTGTGCGTTTCTTACCCTTCCCTGCATTGGCGTGCTCGATATACGCATCCCTTTACTTCCATGCGTCTTCACCGCTGGCTTGCACGTTCTGGCCGCCCGCCGCGTCAGCTCGACTGGGCCTGGGAACGATCCTTGTGCTCGCTGTCACGGTGCATGCACTCCATTTCGACCCAGTAGCGCGAGAAGCACACACTCAAGTTCCCATGTGTTCTGCAACCACAGCAACTCCATTCGACGTTGCCTGCAAGTTACACTTGCAAGCGAGATGCATGTGCGAGATTTCACCCTTACTCTGGCTTTTTCGACCGTCCTTGGTCTCCAAATGCAGACACGGATCCACCGTTCGAGAAGACAGGGAGCGGCGCAAAAACCCTTGACAGGTTGACAATGAACACCCGGTTCACAGCAGGTTCGCATGTTGTGCGTGCCATACCCATCCTCGCCCCCTTCTCTTGCATCTTCTTGCACAGTCGGGCCATGCGGTCGCAGCAGAACGCGCGGCCGATCTGGCCGGGAGAAAAAGCTGTGGTGCAGATGGCCCAGAGCTAGCCGGTGAGAAAAAGTGTCCGGACAGGCAGAGGATATCATGGATCTGAATTACGGGACGCGCGTGCTGAGGTCGTGAGGCAGATGCTGTCGTGGGTCGCACTCGCTCCGTGACCGACGCCTCGCTGCATAATAATCCCCTGAATGGACGCATATGTGTCGAATGAATGCGCTGGCACAGATCACATCTCCGACCTCAACTCATGCCGAAGCGCAGTATCGGCTGTGGCGCTGCTGTGACTGGTCGATCCTTGCTTCTGTGTGCGGACAAAATGGACCCCGTTTTACTAGTGCTGCGTCGGTGATCGGGAGAAGCCTTTCAACTGGATGCTGTGTCTGTTTTCTGTGTTTTTGCTTTTTTCAAATCTTACTTAGTGTGAAGCATCGCTCTGAACGGGTTGCGGAAAAGACCGACGGTTGTCAGCTGACAGGCGCTCGGCCTTTGTGACTCATATGAATGCGGCTCGAGGCGCAGCCCTCCGAAAAGCACCATCGGCTGGACGAGATCCGTGGGCGATTATCCGCTGCAGTCTCCGGCGGCATAGCCAATTCAAATTGTTCATGTTTTTCCGCTCTGATTTACAGCAAGTGTGTGTTCTCCGCAAGGACGCAATAGTTGGTTGTTATAGCAGCCGTTGTTACTGCCCGGACCCACTGTGACAGCATGATGAATTTTCAAGTCTCCAAAGTTCCATGGCCGGGAACGTGATTTTGGAGTCTGTGACGAGTGTCCGCTTAGAATAGAGGCGCTGGGAGTGGGCGCAAAAATGATGCTTTGGATGACGTCGACCAGCCCCGCTGATGGATTCCCATCGAGCTCTCAAGTCCTCCGGGTTGGATGAGTGGATATTGCATCGCCAAAGTGGAGGCCGCGTCAGGCAGGTCGCCGACAGCCAGTCTGGCTCAGACTCGGCGACGCAGCCACCCATCCTCCAACCTCCTGGTCGCACCGGCCAAGCTCGCGCTGAAATCACGCGCGAAATCTCGATGTTCCTAATCCAGCCCACGATAGGATCTGATGACATAAAATTGATTTTGAATCTGGTTATTTCTTGTTTGGCCGGAAACCGGGTATATAAGACAGGGCGGCCGTTGCCTAGTCGTAAGAAACCCCGCATCGACACTCCCTCTGCGTGCAGTACCCCGCGTGCCTACCACAATGTCCGCCGCCACCGCAACCACCCCTCAGATCGGCGTATCCACCAAGATGTGGGCGACAAACACACACTGGTCGTTATACAGCCAGTGCTGCTTGTGGGATACCGTTCAACGACGCGTTCAGGTGTGGGAGTGCATCCGTGATCGTGCGTAGATCCTCTCCTCCTCCCGCCCGTCCTGCCGTGCCTAACCTCGGCGCCCGCAGACGATTCTATACCCGGCACTGAGCCACCCAACACATCCTACTGGCGATTCATCGCGTACAGATGATGTCCCCACCCTGTGCGCGCGTGCGCACCACCACCTTCTTGACTCGGAACACCCACCCCTCAGCAACAAACCTGCGCTGTCGCCCTGAGATGATCAGTCCAGTCCCCTTGCCCGCCGCCAGCTCCATACACCGACGATGCCCTATTTATGGTGCACGTGCACGGCTTGCTTCCCGCCTTCACGGTCTGTGCGCTCGCCGAGTTCGGAAACGGGTGCCCAGTGGAGGAACATGCTATTTATCCGTTGTCCCATGTCATACACTGTGGGACTGCGTTCAGCTATCGTACTGCGCAGCGTTGGTTTCCCTGTCATTGGGCCTTCCTAGTATCTCATCGTGCATAACTTATTGCGAATTCTGTGATAATTCAACTGGTTCTCCGCTGTTCTGTGCGACTACATTTTCCGCCTTCCGGAGCCAAGACATCAATCAACGAAATCAGGCATGACGCAGAGGTGACGTCAGTCAATTTCTCTCCAGCACGATCGCGTCTTTGCGCGTGCCTCGCTGCTTACCTTGCTACTCGCACGTCCTCGTCTTCGTCATCGCCCCGAGATAACAACCCGGGGAGGTCCTCCTGACCGCGGAAGGCAGAATCTGCAATCTGCACTAGGCTCATACTGGGGCATCATCGCGGTCTGTCACCGTCACGGGGTGGCCATCGCGAACAGTCAGTCGTCGGTCTGGATCGTGTGTCCTTCAGCCAGCTGAGCTTGCTAGTGCTTGCCTTCTCTTCGAATCCATCTCCCACGACATCGGCCGCTTTCGCAGAGGGAGCCGCAATTCTAAGTTTAACTTGCCCCTCGCGTAGCCCTTCGCGGGACAGGTCAGTAGTAAGCAGCAGCAACAGCAGCAGTCCTCTCGTCCCTTCGGCGTACATACAGCCGCCTAATGCACAGCCCAGCACGGGTCATTGTTTTGGACACGTCTGGATTGTAATCCACCAGTACAAATCGCCTGTTGGGGTCTGCGATCGCATCCAACCGCTAGGAACAAGGTTCGACGGCCTTACTAGGCCGCTTCGTCAGCCCCCACTTGTCATTGACATCCGACGAGAACCTTCTTTGCAACTGGTCACCTGCGGGCATAGCATGTGCTCTGCGCTTGCGTCTACTACGTACGTGCAGGCAGGCCGATTGTACAAGGCATGACGCCTATGCACTGGGAGTTGATTTCTCCAACTGGTTTGAGCGCTAGGATGAATGAGATGCGGCATTCTCCGGATCCGATCCAACTACTACAGGGGTGCCGACAATCGCCGGTTGGGGGTGCTTATTGGTAATCTGAGTTGCCGGCGATCCAAGTTCGTGGAAGGACCGTACGCCTTGTGGCCTGTCCACATTTCTTCTTGATTATCTTTCCGTCTCTTTCCGTCTATTGTAAAATTTGCACAGGGTCAGAATCGTGCCAAGAATACAGCCAGCTTCAAGATAACCATCGAATCGATGGTTGCGTTGCACAAAAGCGGAGATTTCCCTTTTAGGAAGCGGAGACTTCCTCATTGGGAAAGGGGCCCCCTTTTTCGACTGAGTCTCGTATCTCCTATGTAGCAGTAGCTAACTGAACACACATATTCCACATAAAACGACAACAGGCAAGCATACGAAATTCCAGACAAAAAAACAGGACAAAGTTGGGTTTCATTGTTTCATATTCATGCTTTCGTTCTCGCCCTCGTAACGCGCTTGACTGGCATTTCACTTTCGACGACTTCCTCCTTGATAGTCTTCCGCCCAGAGCGGGCATTCTCTTTCTCCTTTTCTTTCGTATCGGGTGTCGCCGCTGCAGTCTTCCTCGTCGATCTCGGCCTTGGAATGGACGATGTCGACGCGGGCTTTTTCGCTGGCATCACTGGTTCATCTTCGTCCTCGTGTTTCACTTTGGCTGCAACGCGACCTTTCCTGCCTTTCACAACAGCGACTATCTCGATCTCGCCGTCGTTGTCCTGCACGGCTTTTGACGGAACGGAAGCCGGGGCTTTGACGGCCCGCGCTCTTTTCACCGGGAGTGCCGGCTCGGAGACGGGCTCGGCAGCGGCAGCACTGCTTTGAACAGAAGGTGGCTTTCGCGGCTTCCGAGCAACAGTCGCAACCTCTTTATCATCGATCTCTTCAGGCTCGGCAGTAGCACTTCGGCTTCGCCCTCGTCTCGGTTTGGCCGGTGCAACCGGGACCTCGGGGAGAGGCATAGGTTTGTCGTCTTCCTCCGCTAGAGCGCGACTTCGACCACGACGTGTCTTGGGCGCAGATTCCTCTTCTTCAAGAACAGCAGACTCTGAAGTCGGTGCACGACTTCGGGCTCGGCGGACCTTGCTCTCGGGAGCCGGAGTCACTGCCTGTGGTGGTGCCTCTGATGTCGGCGCACGACTCCGGGCTCGACGGGGTTTCTCAGGAACCACTTCTGTCTCTGGCTCAGCAGCCTCGGCAGTCACCGCTCGACTCCGGGTTGGACGTTTTTCTGCCACTGTTTCGCGGACAACCTCGGCCACGGGCTCTGCCGTCGGTTGGCGAGTGCGCCGAGTCGTTCGGGCTGGGGCTGGGGTTTCTTCGGCAATGGGTGTACGACTGCGAGCATCGTGTGGTTCTGGGGCGACCAGCTGATCAGAATTCTCTTCTCGCGTTTCATCTGCATGCAGGTCCGCAATCGGATTGCTGGTGAGATCGAATGGCGATTGCTGCGCAGCGGGAAGAATGGGATTCTCATCTTCGTTCATGGGAGACGGATTCTCGTCCAGGACAAGCTTTGGAAGAGCAAGCGGGTTTTGTGCTTCAACAGCTTGCTGCTCTCCATCAGCCTGTTTGCAAGTCAGCGTAGTCTCGCAAGCAGAATCATCGCGACACACATCATCAACCTCCATCTGAATCTGTCCTTCTTCTTGCTTCGCCCTTGTCAACTCGGCTGCGACCCGTTCTCTGACCTTGATAGGCGTGCCTGCAATCACACTATCGCGTCGGTGCTTCATCACTTCCACTTTCTCCTTCAATTCACGCAAGATCTGTCTCGAATCTCGTCGATCTCCGGCCAACTCGTTGTCAGCATCGTGCTCGTCCAACATCGGCAAGCCAGAAGGCGATACTTTCCGGGGCGATGTGGATCCTTTGCGCGGAGACGACATACGCGACATACCCGGCACACCTCCGACGCCCCAGAAAGGATCAGGAGCAGTCAACGCGCTGCGGCGGCGCTCCGAAATGGCCTTGCGCTCGGCATCAGAAACACTGGAAGTGGTAGTCTTTCGTTCTGCGTCGGGCTTTGAAGGGGAGTCGAGTACAAGGTCCTTGACTTTCCACGGAGACTGAGACACCGGGATTCGCTGCGCAACACCTCCAAGCGAGAATCGGGGGTTGCTGGACGCGACACGGGATGGCTGAGGTGTCATAAAAGGTGGAAGGGTGCGAGCTGCTACTGCCGGGGGTGGTGCTACGGAGGTCTTGACTGAGGTTTCAGTCGTGAGGGCAGCCAAGTCAGGGTATACGGGCTGGAAACCTTCTGAGTCAACATCCATTGCCTGGAACGAGATCAGTTGTGTCACGGTCTAAGAAAAAGCACACACCGTCGCGCCCATCGATTTGCGACCAAAACCCGCCGGTGTTTTGGCGGCCGGATGGGGAACCTCTCCCTCCAGTGACGCAACCGGAAGTCTTGCCGGCGTTGTTGTGTTCTGCGCTACAATTCAGGGATCATTCACCAATGAAAACGAAAATCCTGACCTGGAGCACTGTCTTGCGTTTGGGGGTCAAAGTGGTCATCGGTAGCTAGCAATGGCATGAGAACCGACGAAAGGCAAGCGCGCGGACTGGAAAGTGACGGACCACAGGTTGCTCGATTTCCTGTTCGTCATGATCTTCTTGTTTGCTCCGTTCTTCACCTGCTTGCTCATCCCTATCATGTCCAGTCGATTCAGTCGGTTCAGCCGGTTCGGGCAGCACCTCTTCTTGCTCCTGAAAACGCCTCAACAACTGGCATGAAAACGGGACAGATAAGAACTGACCTCCTCTTTGACACCAAAGAACCCGCCAACCAGCTTCTCGAAACTCTTCCGCCAGCCCAGTTTCTTGGCAGGGACCCTAGGCTCGTCATGGACCTCCTCCTGATAATCTTCCATTACATCATCCTCGCCCTCGCTGCTACTGCTACCGCTAGAGACGCTGATAACACTGAGCCCGAGGTCTCTGACCTCCTCCTCCGAGGTGTCTTCTGAATCGGAGTCTGGATCTGGATCGACACCACTGCTGCTTGCCACAGCCGAGGGACCGGCAACACCAACAGGCACGCGCGGAGTGTACTGTTTCGTCGGTGACACAGGTGTGCGACGGGGCGTAGCGGCCGGCTGCGGCAGGACCTTGGTCGGGCTTGTCGGCGGAGGCAGAGTGGGATACAAGCGTCCCGAGTCGTTCGCTGTTGGCTTCTCGGGTGAGATAGGTGCTCCGAAGACCGGTCTGGGAAGCGGGGCAGGATTAGCCTTGATAGGGCTTGTTTGCGCGAGGCCTGTATTAGTGCCGGCGTTGGATTTAGTCGGGCTCTTGCTCTTAGTAGGACTAGTTGGAGGTCCAACTGCGCTAGAGCCGTTCGATCCTAGATTCGAAGTACCAGCGTTCCAGACAGCACGGTGCGCACTGCGAATGAGAACAGCACGATGCAGAGTCGCGGTGGGCCGTTTGGGCGTCCTAGGTTGGGAAGTGGACGAAGATGATGAAGCTGAACCAGACGATGAAGATCCCGAATTCGTGTCACCGGTCGGAGACAGATATGGGCCAACATCCTCGAGAATGACAAGATCTCTCGCCTCTTCAACCACTTTGGGACACGACCCATGCACTAGTGTTAGTGTGGGATGATCCATTTCCATGTCGTCATACTCGTCCGCTTCGTCGATGGTATCCATATCTTGGTCTGCATCCTGTTCGCTATCACGAGACTGAGCCGGTGCGAATGGATTAAAAGAGGGCCCGGATTTGGTGGGCGATTTACTTGGTGAGCGCCTGCCCTTTGTTGGAGACGGGCTTCGGCTGGTGCTTCGCCCACGTGCAGGGAGCGTAAACGGAGCTCTGAGCGGGGACTGCAGGATACGGAGGTTTTCGCGAGGATCATTGGACGGGCGAGGAGAGAAGACCTGAGCCGAGGCGATCATAGATAGTCGTAATTTGCGATTGGCTGAATATCGTATGTCCCCGTGGTAAATGAGAGGGAAGCAGAGAGGTCGGAAGTTAGTGGCACGTCAACGCAAATGTGCAAGGTAGACAAACGCACGCGCAGGAGATTGCCATAAAGCAGCACGACTCTCTTTTGGCGGGTAACTAAACCGGAACTTCTTGTTATTGATAACAAATTCGCTGCCATTGAGCAATGGCTCTGAGGAGGGCTTGACAGAGTCTTCGTCGTTTGGCAGAACCTGACACCCATCGACAACAACCCCCGTTGCACCAAAAACCTCGATGTAGGCTTTCTTGTCGTCATTGAACGCTACGCGGGCGTGTAACGGGGCGACTGCAGTGTAGTACAGACGGATAGAGCAAGTAGGATCGCGACCAAAGGTGACGCTGTCCGTGTCGACGCCGAAGGACTGCACCGTTGTAGAGTCCCCGGGGCGTAGAAGAGCAATGGTACCGTAGCGGCCTGGAAGATCCATGGCAGCAGGAAGGCAGGGTAAGACGGCGAGGGGATCAACCTGTTGTTGTCTGTTGTCGTGTTGAATGTCAACACGTGCCCCGGCTCGCGGTCACCTGCAAATCATCAATTCGGATCACGTTCGGAACGTCCCAGACCTTCCAGTTCGATCAGTTCCAACGGTTAGTATCTGCCTCTCGAACGATGGCCAGTATGTACACACATAGAGGTTGGATATAATGAGCTAGGAATCTGATCCGTACGCACCCTAGCGACGTTAGTGCGTTAGCAACTCCCTGAGTCTTAGTTTCATGCTTTGATACATCAAAGATTCAGCGGCCCATTTGTAGCAAAGTGAGGCCTCAAAATGTGACAAGGCCTCCAAATACAATAATTAGGAAGAGATTCATGGCTTTTCATAGCAGTGCCTGCAGTAGGGCAACAGAAATCGATCGTCAAGCTATGAAATCGACAGACAACCGGACCCGAATAGCGGAGATAAGATAAGATTCCATCCCGCCATCACAGCACGTGGAAAATATCAGAGTCCGTCGCAACAGATCAGACCTGTGGCAGGCTGCTGCCTGTCATTTACTTTGCGCCTCTTGCTCAGCGACGTAGCGCGAGCGGCCCCGTCATGTTCCGGACGCTCCTGACACCGCTCAGGCTGCGCTTCGACTCGTCGCCACGCTCCGCTGTCACCCAAAACATCGTCACGCCGATTGTCGCTGAGGAGGATGAGCTTGAAAACCCGGAGGACTTTGCGAGGGATGTGCTGGTCGAGCTCATGCGGAACTCCGTGGAGAAGCTGAAGATGTCGCAGGACACACACTCGAGGATGGAGGTACGCCCGCTCGACCTCTGTGTCATATCCGGTTTGTCGGACTCACTCGCGTGTGCAGACGCTGGTCGAGATACAGCGCATTATGCTCCAAGACTCGCTATCCGCAACGAAGGACGTGTTCAGGGAGATGGATGGATTCGTCGGACTCATGAGTGTTCTCTCCGCAGCGCATGAGGGAAGCGAGAACGCGGATGAGGCACAATTGGGGGAGATCATTGAATGCAGCCGGCTTGCATTCATGATCACGTCGGAGGCGATGACCGACCACCCGGACAACACTCAGTACTTCAAGGTACGTTGCCCGCCCGGGTTCCTGGCGTTGAACTCACAAGTGCTTGACAACAGACACGCATCGGATTCGAGTCGCTAGCCACTGCAATCGAGAACCTTACCTTGGATCCACGGACCGTGGACTACACCATGGGCCTTCTCCTTTCCTTCGCATTCCGAAACTTCTCTATTGCGGGGACCTTCAAGTCTATCCGCGGAGTCGAGCTACCCAATGTCGAGCCCACCCTGCGAGAAGTAGTGTCGCGCCTGGGGGGTATCAAACGCCCGGGGGCTATCGCACTCATTAACAGATTCGCGCCGCAGCTCGTTGGCCAAGACGCGACTATGCGCTTCGGTGTCCTCAAACTATTCGAGCTACTGGCCAACACGACGCACCGGAACCACGTTATATTCAGCAGTCTCGAGTTGGCGGAGAATGTGCTGGTGCGCTTTTGCGAGCTCGACACGCCAGATGTGGAGAGGAATGTGCTGCAGAAGCTGTTGAGGCGACTGCTGGACATGGGCGCAACGCCTTCTGTGGCAAGATACTTGTTCCAGGCAGTGATAAGGGAGGATGGAACGCTGCATGCTGAGCTGCTGGAGATGATTCGGTACGGGATGAAATCGCGGTGGCTAGAACACTTTTCGATGGAGTCGCCCGCTTCGCTGACGATGACGGACGACGGTGTCAAGGGTTTGGTGCGTCTCATGCTTAGCCATCCGTCCTTCGCGCTGAGACTGTCGTAGCCAGTGACGGGCTTTACGTACATGGTATGCTTCGGCCTCGCTTGTGGTCTTCCGCTGATGGGTTGTGCAGACCTGGCTCTGGATCAAAGAGCTTCCCAGTACGACCCACACCCTGTTCTCTGCTCAGATGAACAGCCGCTCCCTCCTTTCGCTGAGCTTGCGAGGCGACGGCAAACTCGAGCTGGCATCCTCCGCCAACCGCGACATCGGCGTGTTCCGAAAGAGCCAGATCACCAAAATGAGGTGGACACATGTCACGCTGGTGCACTACCCGTCACGGGCCGGCAATCCGACCATCCGTGGGTTGCAAAGTTCGATATGTTTTCTTTTCTCTTATCTTGTACAGGACTTTACCTTGACGGAGTTTTGAATGACGGCTTCAACTGGAACTATCCAAAATTCGAGTCACAACCCCAGACGATCAAGTACATCATTGGCGAGGATTCGAACAAGACCAGGATGAGCTGGTCGATTGCCTCTGCTCATCTGATGGCTTTCCCATTCGGTAACTCTCTTTAGCAGACATGCGAATCGGCCGATTGATGTTCTCAGGCGACGATCTACCAAGATTCATACACCATCTGGGACCCCGCTACTCGGGAAATTTCCAGGACCCCATGCTCGTCAAGTTCCTCACCTACGAGGCCTCCACATCCCTCAACATGTATCTGTCCACGATCGCCGCAAAATCCAATGTTCCAGTGGCTAACATGGCCCTGATGAAGGTCGTAAATGACGGTCTCGGTGTGCCAGAGTCGTCCATCATTTTTTCGGTTTCGCCTAGGAGTTGTCCGACCGATGATCCCGAGCGGGCAATCGTCCCAGCCAACGGCAGTAGACACGAATTTGCGACTCGTGGTGACGTTTTCATCGTCAAGGCCGCCTGTTTGGATATGTCTCTTTGGAAGATCGGCGGTGCAGCTGTCCCGTTGCGACTACTACAAGTCGCGAGCGTGAGTGACAGTTCAAAAAGTCCCGCTTATTCAACAAGCTTATGTCATACCATCAGACTCCTCACGAGGTATCCCGAGCACTGGGTGTGTTGCTGGATGGCCTCAGAAACAGCTGGCAAAATTCTGAAGACATGGAGCGGATCCGTGGCTACGAGATTATTGCCGGTGTGCTCCGGCCCAAAGCGCACTTGATCAACATGACTGGCTTCGAGACTATTTTCGAGTTTCTCGGCTTCAATTTCCGTTCACCGGAGTACGTTGCCCATCATTCTTGCTCAGGTTGCCAGGTGCCTGATTAATTGGTAGACATTCCACCGTTGTGAATGCCGTTGCTTACCGCGCCATTGCGCTGGACTTTGAGCTGTGGTCAAGCACACGGGTGGAGGTGCAACGAGTCCATCTCGAGCATTTCACCACCCTCCTCGTCTCGAGCCGGTACAAGAAATTCAACATCAAGCAGCGCTTCCCCAAGCTTGGGCTCGTGCGCAAGCTCCTGTTCGCTCTGCAGACAAACTGGTACCAGTCTGAGATCGTCCCATTCGTGCTCGAGGCCCTGAAATCTGCGCTCCAAGTCAATTTCTCCAAAGACGACGCTATCAAACCCGTCGTTTCGTATCTCGCAGCCAATCTGCACCCCGACAAGGCCGTGGATGACAAAGACAAGGACGAGCCCGCCTCGCCGCAGAGCATGGAAAATCGTGACCCGCGAGAGAAGGCGGAGATGGTCCTGGAGATGCTCATCTCGCTCCTTTCGATCCCGGTGTTATACAACAGATTCTGTGTCGTCCTCCCCCTGACGCGGATCTGCATCCTGCTCCTGGGTGACCGGCCATCGCCGTTCATCGCCACCCAGATTCTCACGCTGGTGGCGATCAGCAACAGCATGGCCCCCGCGTTCGCACGCAAATTCGAGCTCATCAGCGGATGGAGCGTCTTCAAGACCGTGCTTCCTTCGTGCTGGGATCCGGTTGTGAACGAGGCTGCTCTGGATGTCCTGCTCGGCCGTTTTTCCGGTGGAGAAACGATCAAGTCTCCCCTTGAGAATGGGCAGAGCGCACCCTCCGCGAAAATCGTCTGCCCTCAAATCGTGCCCACTATCTTCTCCGCCCTTCAAGTCGGCTTGGGCACCGTCGCGCGCAACTGCAGTGTTGATGGCGAGTCGAACTTTGTCTCTGCTTGTCAAGGTTTGCTCACAGTTTGACAGATGCGGGAAATGTGTCCTGGGCCGTCGAGTCGACCATGGAGGTCCTCATCGAGGAGCTCATCGACCTGCACGCGTCGAGCAATGCGTTCCGCGAAGTGTTCAGGTCGCAGCAGACGACGCAGCTGTTCGTGAACAGTTACAAGGCTTTCACGCTGCGAGTCGTCGAGGCGTCGACCATCAACCAACGGACCATCCGTATTCTAGAAAAGCTGTCGCACTTTGGCCTGGCTCTGGCTCTGGACAACTGTGTCGCCGGCGCTCAGAAACGCGAGGTGCGTCATGGATTGCCACCATGTGCTTCTATCTGTTTGCTCACTCGACTCGTAGATACTCGACACGTTGGCAGAAGCCGAAACGATCCTCGCGCCATCCAACGAAAAGACGGCAATCGACCCCGCTCTCGTCGTCGACACGCGCACCGTGCGCCAGCGATTCGCATCCGCGCGGTTCAGCATCCAGATCGGCGAGCGCGCGGTGGTCAAGACCATGACGCGGATGAACGAGTGGCGGCTGACGATCCAGTCGTCCGAGCGCCAGCGGGTGCGCAAGACCATCCTCGATCTGCGCGAAAACAAGCGCCAGATCTCCCGGCTGTCCGAGTGGTCAAACCTGCTGACCTCGGAGCGTGGGCTGTGGCCGAATCCGGAGGTCAGAACGTGGAGATTGGATGAGACGGAAGGGCCGCAGCGCGTCCGGTGGGTGGCATTCTTGGCTCTCTCTTCGTTTTCTTGATCTCTGTGGTACAGAAATCGACTGGAGCCGATGAACGACAAGTCGCTGGCCATCCGCATCGACACGAGTGATCCCAACATGCGCAATGTCGAGGCGCCCGACATCGACACGCAGTCGATCGTCCAAGCAGAGGTGCCTCGGATTCTTGCGACTCACTAATCAGTGCTGATCGTTTGCAGGTCCCGCCGTGGGCCGAGTCGTACGAGATTTCTGCGACGGACATGGACGGTAAGCGCCTGCCAATCATCAATCGACGTGAGCTTATCCCGCATCCTCAGATCGGCAACTTGCGGAAGAGATCACGGACGACAAGCACCGGCGCGTGCGCCACGAGCTGGAACCCGGGGATGTCATCGAGGCGGTGGCGACCGTCGCGCGGATCGCGGGGGTGGACTCCTCGCCCGGACTGATGATCATCGGACGGACGCACATCTACATGCTCGATGGGCTGGTTGAGAGCGACGACGGCGAGATCGTGGATGCGCACGATGCCCCCAAGCAGCTGTTCTTCGTGCCCGGCAGCATTGTCGAGCTTGACGGTCCGCAGAAAGCCCAGCGATGGTTCGTCTGCGCTGTGCACTTATCGATCGGCTGGCTTATCCATTGCTTCCAGGTCGCATGACCAGATAGCTGCGTTTGGCGACAAGACATTCTTGTTCAGAGATGTGGCGTGAGTGCACTCCTCCCTTCTTTGTCTGCTATCGAGAAACTCACTGCTCCTGCAGGCTCGAGATGTACTTCAAAGACAGCCGCTCGCTCCTGATCGTCTTTCTCGACAAGCAGCGGCGCCACAACTTTGACCAGAGACTGCAGCACATCATCACCCGGCACTCCCACCCGGGAGACAATGTCCCATCGGCGTCGACGCCCATGGGCCGGAGCCGCACGCCGCGGCCTGGGTTTGGGAAGGTGTTCCAGCGGTCGGACGAGCTGTCGACTGCTCAGCGGCGGTGGCAGGCGCGAGAGATCAGCAACGTATGTCATATGCTGCGGCGTGGTGGGGGTGTTCTGACCTGTGTTTTCTGCAGTTCACGTACATCAGCATCCTGAACCAGATCTCCGGTCGCACACCGAGTGATGCGACGCAATATCCCATCTTCCGTGAGCAGTCTAGTCGAGACTCTGGAGGTTGATGCTAACATTAAATCCAGCCTGGGTGCTGAAAGACTACACCTCAACAACGCTGGACCTCAATAACCCCGACTCATTCCGAGAGTGCGCTGCTGTGCTTCTCCTGCCGTGCAACCAGCTAATCCAGCCGCAGCCTGACCAAGCCAATGGGCGCGCTGACCGATGTCCGGCGCGAGGCCGCGACGATGCGCTACACGAATCTCGAGAGCGTCGGCGAGAATCCGTTCCACTACGGGACGCACTTCAGCTCGTCGATGATCGTGTGCCACTTCCTAATCCGGATGGCGCCCTTTACGAACATGTTCAAGACACTGCAGGGCGGAGACTGGGATCTCCCAGATCGGTTGTTCAGGTAGGCGCATAATTGGATACACTTAAGTGTAACTCATCCATCTACCAGCGATGTTGCGCGCGCATATGAATCGGCTGCATCCGACGTCCGTGGCGATGTCAGAGAGCTCATCCCCGAGTTCTACACATGTCCAGAGTGCGTGTGCCGGGTTAACACGCCCGATTCACAGCTGACGTGCATCCCAGGTTTCTCGAAAACTCGGACAACCTCGACTTTGGCGTGCAGCAGAACACAGGAGAGAAGATTCACGACGTGAAGCTCCCGCCATGGGCCAAGAATGACCCGTTGTTGTTCATCACCCTGAATCGACGGGTAGGCACTGTGCTCTGCATTCCCCATATGGACTGGCCTCTCATTTGTTTCGACAGGCACTGGAGAGCTCGTACGTGAGCGAGAATCTTCCAGCGTGGATCGACCTGATCTGGGGCCACAAACAACGGGATCCCGAGTCTCTAAACTGCTTCCACCCGCTGTCGTACGAAGGCTCGATCGACCTCGACAAGATCACGGACGAGCTCGAGCGCGAAGCGACGGTGGGCATCATCCACAACTTTGGGCAGACGCCGCGGAAGCTGTTCACGACGCCGCACCCGGCCCGCTACGACTACGGCCCGTCGACGCTGCCGATCGGGACGTCGTCAGGGATCGAGGAGGACCCGCACATGCTGGTCCAGGAGGGCCGCTGCTTCCACGAGCTGGGGACAGGCAACCCCGTGCGCGAGCTGGTCATGGATCCGATCGCGGACCGGATGCTCGCCTGTCCGGAGGGCGTGCTGGTCGTGCCGGGCCGGCCGCACGAGCGGGTGGAATGGGGCACGACACGGGCGGCGGCGGGGCAGCTGCGGTACGTGATCGACCAGCGGGTGGTGCAGGTGATCGAGGAGGCGTTCTGCGTGTGCGCGGCATTCGCGGACTCGACGAGCCTCGTGACCGGGTGCAGCGACTACACGGTGCGGCTGTGGAAGATGACGCGCAGTGCGCACAACTCGAACATCGTGCGGCTCGGGCTGGCGAACATCATGCGCATCCACACGCACGACGTCGTCGCCGTGACCGCGTCGCGCGCCTGGGCGATCGTGCTCAGCGGGTCGCGCGACGGGAGCGCGGCGATCTGGGACCTGAACCGCGGGATCTACATCCGCTCGATCTGGCACGACGCGCCGGTGCACCTCGTCGCCATCAACGAGAGCACGGGCTACATCGCCACGTGCTCGAGCAACAAGCTGTCGCTGCACACCATCAACGGCCGCGCGATGGCGGTCCTCGATCTCACCGCGCCGTCGCCGACGGACGGGATCATTTTCTCGCCGATCACGTCGCTCGCGTTCCACGAGCGGGAGTACTCGCACATGGGCGTCCTCGCGACGGGCGCGTTGGACGGGACGATCACGCTGCGCACGTGGACCGCCGACGGGACGCCCGCGGGCGAGACCGCCGTCTGGGAGTTCCTGACGATGCGCACGATGCGCGTCCGGGCGGTCGGCGGAGAGCGGCCGCCGGCGGTCACGGCTCTGCGGCTGTACGGAGAGGACATCTATCACGGAGAGGAGACTGGCAAGGCGTTCATGTGGACGCTGCCAGAGTGATTTTTTACATATTTGTATTTTTGGGTCTAATATGTCACAAGGAAGAGCTTGCCAATATGAAGACATTTTTGTAATCACGCAAAGAGCAATGATCAGTAATATCGACCAGAACATTCAGTGATTCGATGTGAAACTGCTCACACTCGTCACTTGCACAAGACGGGTCCATCGACGATCGTTTATGGACTATTTGTGAGTCGGCAGGATCGGGATGAGCTCAAGGACAATCTCGACCATGACTAGAACGATGAAAATCTGATTATGGTCACCAGACGCAGAAGGTCAAGAGGGGTGAGTTGTTATTCATCAAAATCGTTCATATCGTCTAAACACAAGCCAGTATGCACTGTGCGTGCATTGTCTATCTACACCTTGACAAAGATCCGACGCTCGTGCGAGAGTCGCGCTGATGAAGGATGAGCGTACTGCGTGCACCGGCCCAAACTCAGCGGCGCTCACCAGATAACGCGAAGCACGACCCCAACAACATCGCACACCCCGAATACGCAGCCACCGCCTGCCAATTGTTCCCAGAGCGCGAAAGCACAGCGCCGCCAATGGACGCGCCCGCAAGTTGGCCGGGCGAGTTGGCGAGAATCATGAAACCGGTGATGGTGGCGAGGTCGTTCAGGCCAAACAGCTGCGCACACACGACGGGCAGCAGACTGATGAACCAGCACCCGACGAGACCGTAGACAAGGCTGAACGCGATGATCGACCCGAACGTGTCTGCGAACATCCAGATCAGCAGCTGCGCGAGGCCGCCGAGCAGGAACGTCGTGAAGAACATGTTCAGGGTCCCGAAGGCGTCGGCCAGACGACCGGCCATGATCTGGGGTACAGTGAGGAACGGATAAGCAGGGCGTGGCAGCACTTGCTTACGCGACCGATTCCGCCTAGATCGTGCGTGGCCAGTCAGTGGCTAGCATACAGCCTGGATGAATCAGACACTCACCGCCGATGTTCATAATGACGAGTGGCACGACCACCAGCAGCGAGTTCGGGTCCAGGGACGGCACTTTCACTTTCACATAGGTCGTAATCAGGTAGTACGGGCCCTGCATAAAAGCTCCTGAGCAAAGCCGAAGGAAGAAAGGAACAATAGATGCGCTCACCTGGAAGCCGAAGATGCCCGTAAAGACGGTCAACGCGACGCAATAGAAGGCGGGTCCGCGCGTCGTCGGCAGCCAGTGCTTTTGGATCTTCTCGTACCCCGGTGCGCGTCGCTCGGCCATCATGAACCACGCACAGATCCAGATCACGGCGTAGATCGCACTGTACACGAGCATCGTCTTTTTATACCCCAGATTGGACAGCCTGCCGCGGGAGGAGATTAGTATCCCGCCCTCCTCCTATGCAGAACACAACGCACAGCGGGCGGATCACGAGCGAGCCTGCGGCCCCGCCGAGGCTGGAGCCGGACACCGCGATGCCGGTCGCCAGTCCCCGTCTGCGCTGGAACCACTGCGCGGGCAGCGCCATGTACAGCGGCATCGAGATGCCCCCCGAGATGCCGAGCAGGCAGCCCTGGAAGAGGAAGACCTGGTACAGCTTCGTCGCGAACGCAGACGCCAAAAGACACAGATAGGACAGCAGAGAGCTCAGGGCGATCATGCGCTTCAGCGGAGTCAGAAGTCATCATCGAACAGGGAAAACCCCCGAAGCACCTTGAAGCCGCTGGAGACCGTCCGTCAATCGGTGAATAGCAGGGAGCAAAAGCAAACCCACTATCGCTCTCCAATGCCTCCGAAGAAGTACGCCGTGGAGTTCATCGACTAGAGAAGGTGAGATGGGCTGACCCATTGCTCGTTCGGAGAACGGACAAATGAAAAGAGGCCGCCCACAAGACTCAGCGTACTCAAACTCGCATCTTTGTACTGGTCCGAGTGGTAAAAGTCCTGCAGCACACCCCAAACAAGACCCCATCCCCTGCGAACGGCAGAATCAATATCCGCTTTGAGAAGTTCTGTTCAGCAAACCTACATGCACGTCGCGGTCATGAGCGCGCATCCAAAAACGACGAGCCAAGCGCGCAGGCCTCCATCGGGGTACGTCCACTCCTCCTCATCGGCGACGCTGGCCTTCTCGTTCAGCTGGGCTGCCTTTCGGTCCGCAGCCGGGGCGACGACGGTGACGGCCTCGCCTTGCAGCAGCGCCTCAGCTGGCAGAATTGAACCTGCAGGAATGGACGAAGGGCTGGACATGGTGGGCGTCGCTGGGTTGCATTCAAGAGCTCAATAGTTGAGGGTGGTTTATGGTCAGTCGTTACGTGCCCTCGTTACGTTTAAGATGTGGGGGGATAAACGATATTCCGTGTGTGCAGGGCGCCGGTCCGGCATGTTCCATCCCTGAGAATGCGGCTGAATCAACTGGTGCGCGAAGCGGGGTCGTGTAGGTCGCCTGCGCTTGGCCCGCGGCCAAGTCACGCGTAGCTTAGCCAGGAGGCGAAACACGGCATACTAGCGCAAGTCGGAACTTGTCTGGTCTCTACAGCGAGGAAACTGCTGGAATCGACGCGAAGGAGTGGTGTTCTTGTGGGCGATAAGTGACAAGACCAAGCCGATCGGAAGACGGCCCGGTAATCTGATCTCTTCAGCGCGTGACCACGTGAGCTCGGGGCCCCATTCAATTTCGCATTTCAATGAGAAGCCCCTCGCGAAAAGAAATGTTCAACTGCTGCTTGTGTGACAGCGGTGTTCCGCTGCGCGCTGAAACTCCATCCACGGATTTTGCCATCATGGATCCGACAGACGCGATATGTAACGCGTTTTTGTTTCGGGGTACAAATGAGGAGATGTAGAAGGAAGAATCAACGGGGGCAATGCGCGATGTCCTTCTCATGTTGCCGCGTTTACGTCGGAACGCGATATTACTGTCTTCTTTTCGATCTGAGATGTCACAGACGGGTTTACATCCGCCTCGTGAGTCCCAGGGTACGACATGGCTTTTCCCTGGCCGATCGAGAGGCGAAGGCTTCGGTTCTGCCTCGCAAACAGAGGTTTCAAGTTAAATAAACAGTTAAAATCCTCTGTGTATTTAGATCTACACTTTCGCCCAGACTCGACGATCATAAGAGAATCGCGCTGGAAGAGATTTAAGAAAAACCACTCGCGGCTGAGAAGAGTACTGCAGGACACACCGCATAGAACGAAACAAGATCCCAACAACATGGCACATCCGGAGTAGACCGACACCGCTCTCCAATCCCCATCGGAACCCGCGAGGACAGCGCCCCCGATCGACGCACCAGCCAGTTGACCAGGCGAGGTAGCGAGGGTCATGAAACCAGTGACCGTCGCCAGATCATTCAATCCGAACAGCTGAGCGCACACGACCGGGATGAGGCTGACGTACCAGCACCCGACGAGTCCGTACACCGCACTGAAGGCGACAACCGACGCGTAGGAGCGCGCAAGCGTCCACAGCAGCAGCTGCGCGAGCCCGCCGAGTAGGAACGTCGCGAAGAACACGTTGAGGGGCCCGAAGCGGTCAGCCAGGCGGCCGGCCAGGATCTGAAACGGGGTGATGAACAACACGCGCGGGCCTGTGACTTGGGCGCCTGCTCACACGACCGATCCCGCCTAGAATCCCATCAGCACATGCGTTACTTGATCGCCAGAGGGCACCTACCGGACACGTTCATGACCGCCAGAGGAACGACTACGAGCAGGGACTGGGGATCAAGCGACGGCACCTGCTCCTTGACGTAAGTCGTGATGAACCAGTAGGGACTCTGAGAACCAAATTAGACATGTGCGCGGGGTGCGCGCCGCGCTGACTCACCAAGAACCCGAAGACACTCGTGAAAACGCTCAGCGCGATGCAGTAGAAGACGGGCCCACGCGTCTTCGGCAGCCAGTGCTTTTGAATCTCCTTGTACCCGGGTGCCCGCCGTTCCGCCATCATGAGCCACGCACACGCCCAGATCCCGGCGTATGCAGCGCTGTAAACGAGCATCGTCTTCTTGTACCCGAGATGCAACAACCTGCTTGACCCTGAGCCTAATGAAGATGGGGACCGGACGACCAACGACGTACAGTGGACGGATCAGAAGCGAACCCATGCCGCTTCCGATACCAGACCCAGCGACAGCGATGCCCGTCGCGAGCCCCCGTTTGCGGAGGAACCATTGTGAAGGCAGCGCCATGTAAAGGGACAGGGATATCCCAGACGCAAGCCCCATGAAGACCCCTTGGAAGAGGAAGATGTGGTACAGCTGAGTCGGAAACGCTGATGCCAGCAGAGATAGATACCCGAGAAAGCAGCTCAGAGCCATCATGCGCTTCAGATGGCTTAGCATCCCTAGCGGCGACAGGAGCGACTAGATCATGCCTTGTAGCCACTGAAAAGAGGTGAGTTGACCGAAACTTCGCAGGGAAGCACACCTACTGTCGCTCTCCGACGCCTCCGAAAAAGTACGCAGAGCAGTTCATGCACTAGGGCGCAGGTCGTCAGGACATAGCGAATGAACAGGCTCGTTCGTGTTGCTCACGAAGGCGAATATGCCACCAACAAGACTCAATGTGCCCAAGCTTGAATCTTTGAACTTGTCCGAATGGAAGAAGTCCTGCAGCACTCCCCACACAAGACCCCATCCCCTGCGACGACTTCAGCCTCGCATCGAGGATCGCGTGGTCACTCACAGAGACGTCCCAGCCATGATCGAGCACCCGAAAACGACAAGCCAAGCACGCAAACCGCCATCAGGATACGTCCACTCGAGCTCTGGCTCGATATCGGATGGACCAGGTTTCTCCTCTGTAGATGGAACAGCAACGATCGACTCTCCGTGAAGAATCGCCTCCTTAGGCAGCGAGAAGCTCGCAGGAATCAGCGCAGGGTCGGACATGATTGTGGACGGGAGTTTGGGTGCATTCGGCAGCGGAGTCGAGGAAGTCGTCGGGCGCGGTCAAAAGCCGCTCCCAAATCGGTTGTGTACGTGTCAGTGATCGATAATCTACCTGTGGGGCTTGTCCTCCTGCCTCATGCTGCTTCTTATAGTGCTGGAAGCTGGGCACGGTGGTTCTCTAGCGCGGTCATTTCATATACAGGCAGTCGATCGCCTGATGGGGCGTCCGTGTTCGTGGATATCGTATGGACTCAGGGTATTCTTTGCAGGTCGGACGCGGTCCGGGCGAAGTCCTTGCGGGCTTTTGAAGCTCTAGGACTAGTTGACAACATGAAAATCGGTGACAAGAGCAAGCTGCGATCGGCACGATTATTGTCCCTTGCTCACGTGACTCAGCGGGAGAGTTTCAGTGAGTGAAAAAAACCTCGTCATCTCGTATTTGAAAGCATAGGGCGAGCCTCAAGAACGGTCTAGTATAAGATGGATAAAATTTGTGAATGGATAGGCAACTCGTAAAATTCGGAACGGGTGAATCGGAGTGAGTCAATTTGGTCTTCAACGCGTTGAAGGAAAATAGATATCTCTTGATGAGACCAGTAGTACTACAGTAGTACTACAGTAGTACATACTTGTTACAAAAAGTGGGGAATAAATCCAGTCCAATCTACAGACAAGAAAGCGCCAATCGGTATGGCTCGGAGAGAGGTAAACATCAGGATGGCCAGAGCCAGTCGAATAAAGACATAGAGGATGATCGATGCAATGCTCCCGAGGCGAAGGGGCCCTAGCACAAGGAGTGCGTATGTAGAGCTATGGATGTCTCTTGAAAAGTGAAATATGTTCAATACGCCCATGAATATGGTGGGTCCTAGCGAGACCGAGATGGCACAGCTTCTCCACAGCCATTTTTCGATCACAGAGGGAAAGTGGATATTCCATGCAGCGCAGTGAAGGCCTCCGAAAATGAGGCCGAATACAGCTTGTGTAAGTAGACTGAACTGCATCAGAGAAAAAGGCTGCCAGGTGAGTTCCCGATCACGGCTTGTGATGTTTTGAGACCAAAACGTGGGGACGAATCCTCCCGTCGGAACTTGGTATTGGCCTAATAGGATGCCATCTAATCTCTCAGCAAGCCTCTTGGCCCAGAGTTTGGTCTGATGCGCATCCTCCTTCGACAGGGTGTCGCCACGCGCTGAGGTACTCGGCGTCTTCAGATGGACTTGAAGGACGATCGGTTTTTGCACACCGAGAGGCTTGTGCCACCAGAGAAGCCACACAATCGGGGTGAGCGCGGCGAAGCCCATTGTGGCCACCTCGAGCTGCGTGACTGGTAGTCCCTGGACAACCCGGCCGATCATCTGCAGCAGGAACCACAACCCCTGCAACAGTGCAATGCTCTTCGTAAAAGCATCACCCTTGCTCTTGTCCTCGATGTCCGCTTGCTTCACAGCTGCGATAGCTTCGAGAACACCGGGCTCGTTAAGCTGGTTCTCGGTAGCAATGACCTTGCCGTCCGCGTCGATGAATCCGCCCATCGAGAAAAAGAAGGCGCGGGTCATCGAAAGGGAGTCCGGGGAAGTTCGATGGGCTGAGGGAAGCTAAGAGACGGGTGGCGAATGTCAAAGGCGTCGCGCGCTCACCTTGATACAATGTCCGAGCGTAGATGAACTGCCGGAGGGCAAAGGAAAGCACTACCTCAGGTGCCGCCAGAGCAACCAGCATGAGCTTGACACTCTCCGTCACGGTCCAAAATCCCTTCCTCCCCGGGGCGGGTACATTTGGGTGCACCGAGACCCAGACAGAGGCAAAGATGGTCAACAGACAGCCCCAGACAATGCTGAAGAGGCTGCGAGAGAGTGACCCGTTTGCGTTGTCCAATGGCTCGTCTATGCACCCGAGCGTAAGGGTGTTGTTCACCTGCGGGAGGAGCATGAGAGGGCGAAGAGCGACCAATGATTGAGGACTACTGGCAACGGAGTTGAGATTCAAATACCCCGGCTCGGGCGCTTGTTCCATCCTTCTTTCCAGTCACAGGCCTGTCTGGGGCCAGGCCTTGGCAGCATGGGGGTACGTTCTTCATGAGCAGGCGGTTTATCGTGGCCACCTCTTTCTCTCCTGCGCATGTTGCAATCGCAGATCCAGGCGGCAAACCTCGTTGCTTCCTGTTTCACCCGTTTCGATTCGATTTATGCATGAGTGGCTTTGGTTCATGCAAGCCCCATGCGAAATAGGATACGGTATGTTCTTCAGGTTCGTGAGACATAACCGGGTTGCAAGGCCAGTCTGATCGCAGAGCATATGTCTGGAAGGAGCCCAGCTGCCAGCTACGTCCGTGTCCCAGCGTTCTCTGGAATTTGACTTTGCAGCCCTTGGGGCAGCCAGTTCGTGTTCAGTCTCTGAAGAGTAAGATTCCCACAATTTCGCTTCTGAAGGATGACGATCTTGGACTTGAGCTTCATGCGACCGATCCAGCGCTATCCGTGAGAATGAGCGTCAGCGAATACACGGAATTGCAGCGTGTATGCATTGAGGAGGGACTGAGGGACCTGTAGCCCATATGACGACGTGATTCGTTTGGAGTGGTGCAGGCAACTAGTGAGAAAGCGCCCGTCCCACGATGCTTTTCCCAAGGGAAAGGTGGAAGTATCGTGCCGGAGGATGTCTGCAAGTTCGGTGCATTCAATGGCCACTATAGCCGCCCGAGACAAGCTCGGTCATGAGTCCGGGCACATGTAAGATGAGGAGAGGAGACCTGCTTTGCAGCGCATGGAAATGGCCGTCTGGTACAGGTCCACGCACGGTGTAAAAGCTCGAGCCGACGTTCACAGCTCATCGATAAAACGCACTCGTCCGAAAGGCCGAGGCAGTCCTGCAGCTCGCATCCCATGGTTCCCGCTGCTAGTTGTGGCTGCGGGAGAGATGGGGATAGAAGGACACAGAGCCAAACCAGCAACCGCAGCTGATGTAGTCTACGGTGTCCTCATTGCAACTGGCACACTTATAAGCGCTGGCCCAGAAGACCGCGTGTTAGGGCAGACAAGAGTACCAGTCCGCCAAATCCTCCGCGCAGATGCAATAGATATAGCCTGAGATCCTGAGTCGCTTCGAGGGCGAGGGATCTGGACAGTGTAGCTTGAGAAGGTCATCTTGGCGCGAGGCAGGACATGGGGCACTGCCTTCCAGCGGACCGAGAGTATCCGTGACAGACGCAGGAGCGTGAGAGTCGTCACCCTGCCACGTATGGCAGCAAGTAAGACATACCTACAACAACTTCAGCCTTGCATGAAAGATTCCGCAACAACTCACAAACATGTCCTGGCCATCATAGACCACCCGAAAACGTCAAGCCAAGCATATAAACCGCCATCGGGATACATCCCGTCGAGCGCTGCCTGAATGTCGGACGAAGAGACCGTCTCATCTGCAGATTAGACAGCAGCTGCCAGCGACGACTCCTTGGGAAGTATCGTCTCCACAGACAGCACCAAATGCGCAAGGACAAACGCAGTGTCGGACGTAATTGTATACGGGAGTTTGGACGCATTCGGCAGCAGACTCAAAGGAGTCGTGGGGCGCAGTCGAGGGCCGCTTTCTAATCGGTTGCATACATGCCAGGGGGAAGCTGATCGCAGTGGTAGCCAGTCGATCGCTGATGAGGTGTTCGAGTTTGTGGATGTCGTATGGATTCAGGGCATTCTTTGGAGGTCGCTAGCGATCCGGAAGGAGTTCTTGCGGGCTCGTGAAGGAACTAGTTGCAAAATGGAAACCAGTGACAAGAGCAAGCTGCGATCGGCTTGTCTCTGCCGCACGTGACTTGGATCAGGGCTTTCGATGAGCGAACAGAACCTCGCCAGCTCGATATTCAAACAGCGAGGATTGGTTGAAAAACGTTCTGATAAGAAAATGGACCAAATCATGTAGAGACGGCTGATTCGAAAATTTCGAAACGGATGGATCGTGTGAGGCAATGTAGTCTTGCACGATGAAAAATCAATATCTTTCGTAAGAACAGTAGTGCTTATTACAAAAAGTGAGGAATGAATCCAGTCCAATCTACAGACGAGAAGGCCCCGATTGGTATGTCTCGAAGAGAGGTAAACATCAGGACGAGCAGAGCCAGCCGAGCCAAGACATACAAAATGGGCAATGTAAAGATCACGAGGGCAAGAGGCAGGAACACAAGAAGGTCGAATGCCAAACCATCACTTTCTTTCGGGATTGAAATTGTATTCAATGAGCCCATGAATATGGTAGGCGCAAACGTGACCAAGATGGCACAGCTCCTCCATAGCCATTTTTCAGTCACAGAGGGGAAGTCGACGTTCCATGCCGCGCAGTGGAAGCCGCCGAAAATGAGACCGAACACGGCTTGGCTGAGAAGACTGCGCTGAGCCACAGAAAATGAGCGCCAGGTGACTTCGGAATCCGACTCGGCCTCGCTGTGAGACCAGAACGTGGGGACGGACCGTCCCGTCGGATCGTCGTAGTTCCCTAGTACGAGACCCCCGAATCTATTCCAGAGCCTGTCGTGCCAGGTGTCGGTCTCATTCGCATCCTCTTGCAACGGAGTGTTAATCGATGCTGGGGTAGCAGGCGTCTCCGGCAGGGCTGCAAGGTCATTTTGCGCGTCCTCCTTCGATGGGGTGTCACTACGCGCTGTGGTACTAGGCGTAGCCAGATGGACTGCGAGAACGATCGGTTCTTGCACATCAAGAGGCTTGCGCCACCAGAGAAGCCAAACAACCGGGGTGAGCGCAGCAAACCCCACCGTGGACACCTCGAGCTGCGTGACCGGCAGTCTCTGGACAACCCGGCCGATCATCTGAAGCAGGAACCACAATCCTTGAAGCAGTGCGACACCCTTCGTGAACCCATCACCCTTGCTCTTGTCCTGAATCTCCGCTTGCTTCACAGCTGCGACAGCCGCGAGGACACCGGGATTGTTGAGCTGACCCTCGGTAGCGATGACCTTGCCGTCTGCGTCGATGAATCCGCCCATCGAGAGAAAGAAGGCATGAGTCATCGAGAGGGAGTCCGGGGAAGTTCGATGAGCTGAGGGAAGCTAAGAAACGGGTGGCGAATGTCAAAGGCGCCGCGCGCTCACCTTGATACAATTTCCGAGCATAGATGAACTGCCGGAGAGCAAAGGCGACCACAGCCTCGGGTGCTGCCAGAGCAACTAGCATGAACCTGACTCTTCTTGTCGCGGTCCAGAACACCTTTGTGCTTGGCGCAGGTACATTGGGGTGCACCGAGACCCAGACAGAGGCAAAGATAGTCGATAGACAGCCCCAAATGATAGCGAAGAGAGTGCGAGAGAGCGGTCCGTTCGCATTGTCCAATGCTTCACCTGTGCGCGCAAGAGAAACGGTGTTGTTCACATGGGGTAGGAGCATGAGAAGGACGGGGAGCGACCGATGGCTGATCAGCGCTGAGAGTGGCGATCTGGGTCAAGTACTCCCAAGCCGGGCGCTTGTTCCATGCTTCTTTCCAGTCACAGGGATATCGGGGGTCAGTCCTTGACAGGATGAATGGTCAAGAGACTGTTGAGCCAGATTGCTGCTGCCGGAGCGGTCTATTGATCACAGCACGCAGTCCTTCGCGGCCACCCTCGTTCTTGAATCATCCCGCATCGAGGCGAGAAGAGAGGACCCTCATTCCCACCCGATACACACGTTCCCATCCGACTCGCGTTTGTATCGATCCGCATTCGTTCAAACTGGTCCAACACAACATAGTATGCCCTCTCGGCGACGCTTCGCTAGTCATGCCCACTTTATCAACCAGCGTCCAGAGCCAACCTCAAAGCATATGTCTAGAAAGCTTCAGCTGCCATCCGAATCCGTGTCGCATTGTTCTCTGGACTTTAGCTTTCCACCCCCCCCGCAGAAGCCTGTTTGCGCTCAGTCTATTCACAGCTCACTGATTTCCAGCCAGTCATGCACGCCTCGTCCAATCAAGCGGTGATTGATGAACCCGACTGTGAAGCTCGTGAAAAGACAGTCTTCTGGAGGGGTACAGGCTTGTGCGCACAGGCCTTGGCTGCAGGAGCGCACGTCCGATGGGGCGTTTTGAAACGAAAAGGCGGAAGCATCATGCCCGAGTCTTCCAGAGTCGAATGAATGCGCCGATGGTGGTGATAATCAGCCTGAGACAAAGTTTATCATGGGTCAGGCCACGTGTAAAGGAGAGGGGACCTGCCTGTCGGGGCATTGGGTTGTCTCATTGACATGGATATATTCCAAGTCTATCCACGATATGAAGACCTAAATCGAACGGTCGCGTCCCGTCAATAGAACACACTCCTTAGAGAGGTCGAGGCAGTCGTGAGGCCTGCGCGCGAGGTGCCCAGGCCCCTGAAACTCGCAGCTGATGTGGTCCATTGAGTACAGAGAATGGTGCACTTCTTGCAGCTGAGGTGCGCATGACCGTGGACCCGGTAGACAGATCACGGACACAGTGCATGTTCCCGATTTATCCGGGCTACGTTTCCTGAGATGAAGAGGGATGTGGGCTCCAAGTCGTTGATTCAGAAGCTCCCGCCTGTCGATGATGCTACAGACGCTCGTGCGTCATCACAAATTGTTAAGGGAGGTGTAGAAGGATCCTGAAATCTATCTGTGAGATTCAGGTCGACATGCACTCGGCATGAACGTGAAGAGCAGGTCAAGAGAGTAGAAAGCAGTTGATGACAACTGACAGGACACAGTTAGTCATCTGGTCTCGGCACCGCCACGCCCTAGTCGTCCTGCTTAGGACATCTATGTTCTGGGGCCGTTGTCTTTCTCCTTGTCCTTAACCATCAGTCGACCTCAGGTGTTAGTTGCCTGTTGATCAAAGTCAGGTCTAGAATCTTCCCTCCAACCCAAGCTGCGTGAGAGATTTGCGGACTTGTTATCTGCCCACGCGTGTATCCACCATGAATGGACTTGCAACGACCCGTAGCGCCGCAGGAGGCTCTCAATCCAACGAGGACGAGGAGCTGAAACCGTACGTCCTCGTGAACGAGATTGGGAAGGGTAGTTTTGCGACAGTCTACAAAGGGTACCATGAGGTGAGTGATAGACTTACCGCATCCTCCTTGCCACTGACCCTTGCGGCTAGGTCAATCACCAGACTGTGGCTATCAAGACTGTGATACGCCAAAAGCTATCCACGAAGCTGTTTGAGAACCTGCAGAGCGAAATCCAGATCCTCAAGACCATTTCCCATCGCCATATCACGAAGCTCATTGATATCGTGGTGCGCCCCTCCCTACCTATCGCTTTCTCCCCTCACACACCCAAAGCGGACCGATCGTAACATATATCTCATCATGGAGTACTGCTCCGGTGGCGATCTGACGAACTATATCAAGAAGCGCGGGAGAGTAGAGAGCCTGGAGTACGTGCCTTCGCCAGGTGCTGCGCCTCAATACTACCCTCATCCCCGCACCGGCGGCTTGGACGAGATCGTCGTGCGCAGCTTCCTGCGCCAACTTGCCCGAGCGCTCAAGTTCCTCCGCACACGCAATCTCATTCATCGAGACATCAAGCCTCAGAACCTTCTCCTGAATCCCGCACCACCGGAAGAGCTCGCGCGTGGCCATCCTCTCGGCGTTCCCATTCTCAAAGTCGCTGACTTTGGATTTGCACGTTCGCTTCCGAACGCTATGATGGCAGAGACGTTGTGTGGTTCTCCGTGAGTCACTACGACTGATCTCTCACGACAGAGCTAAAAGCGTTGTCTCAGATTATATATGGCACCGGAAATCTTGCGGTATGAGAAGTACGACGCGAAGGCCGACTTGTGGTCCGTCGGTGCTGTTCTGTTCGAGATGGCCGTTGGCCGAGCGCCATTCCGTGCTCAGAATCATCTCGAGCTCTTGAAGAAAATCGAGCAATCGAAGGGCATCCGGTTCCCTGATGAAGACCCAAGTTCGAAGTCATCGCGCAGCGGAGCGGGAGGGGGCGAGGACCTGCCCGTGCCCATGGACGTGAAGAAGCTCATCCGGATCCTCCTCAAGCAGAATCCAGCCGAGCGAGCGAGCTTTGAGGGGTTCTTTGGGAGCACAGCTTTGGCCAAATCCAAGTTTCCTCGACCTTCCGAGACGTCGTTATCGACCTCGGCGACTGAGGATGGGGTCGTTCCAGCGCACCATCTTATCATTCCGCCGGAAGTATTGGATCCCAATGCCATGATTCCGCCCAGCAAGTTCAATTTCCGGGACGTTCGAACGAATGCTGCATCAGCATCATCTCCAGGGTTCGTGTCATATACTGAGATATCGAGACTGTGTGAGTAAAGTCTTTCTATAGGGCTGGCCCGTCGGCTCCTCCACAAGCAAGGCGACCGTCGTTCCCCACCAATAATTCACCGAAACGGATTCCGCGGCCTCTGGGGGCGGAGTCTTCGATCATTCCCGGGGAAACGGAAGAAGATGGGAAGCTCCGGCGGGAATATGTCATGGTGGGCGATACTCGAGCTGTCGAATTCAATCGTGTGGTCGATGGTGCGTGACGAATCGTATTTCCACATGGTGCTGTCTGATCATCCCCAGAGCTGAAAATCGTTCCCCGCAAACCTCTCCAAGACGTGCGGATTCCTCCGACGCCATCTGCTGAGGAATACCCCGAGTACCCGACATCCTTCCCTCCGGCGCCGATTCCAGGGGCGCCGGTTAGCATGCCGACGCCTTTGTCGTCCTCGCCTTCGAGCATGGCTTCGCGTGCAGCAGCCCACGCACTGAATCGGGCCCTCAGCATGGCATCAAAGAAGTTGTTCGGAACGCCCACTACAGTTCATCGCCGGTCCATGTCGCTGAAAGACAACAGTGCACCGCCATCACCACGGCGCAACATCATCGCGCTTGACAGCGAAGGGCAGCGGGACCCACTTGAGGATGACCTGCTGGGATCGCTCGAGCAGGTGGCGCAGAAGACGTTCGTGCTCACAAACTGGGCTGACGAGATGTATGAATACGTCAAGGCCATCCCACAGAGTATGTACTCAATTCGGTCGTTCGATTGAAAAGTAGTGATCGAGGGCTTACAGAACCACTACCGGATCCCACGAAATTCGCGCAGAAGGACGGCGAAGGGGACAAGCATGCCCGGAAACGCAGACACGCAGACATGGAAGCAGAGTACAACGCCGTGACATGCGTGGCTGTCTATATGCTGTTGATGGAGTTTTGCCAGCGTGGAATCAACCAGCTGAGGAATCACCAAGAGCACATGAAAATGCGTCATCCGGAGGAGGACTTCGTTGTGAGTGAAGGATTCGACGATGGTACGTGTGTTTCTGCGCTGGTCTCTTCACGTGGACGAAGTCTTACCGTGTGCAGCTCTCACGTGGTTCAAGGACCAGTTCGTCAAGTGCTACGAGCGGACGACGATGGTCAAGGCGTGGCTTCCGGCCCAGTACGATGGACCCAAGAGCTGGATCGACCAGCTCGTGTATGAGCGAGCCTTGCTGCTGGTCTGTCCTATCGCTTCTTCACGGTGCTGCCCGGGCTGACCCAAGCAGAGTCGCACAGCTGCGCGCAAAGAGCTTCTTGACCAGGCAACGAGCCCAGACGAATGCGAGAAACTGTACGAAGAGAGTCTGTGGTGTCTGTACGCCCTGCAGGACGACCTGCTGCAGACCGGGAATCCGTTTATGGAGGAAGATCGCACTACCATTGACACCTGTATGTTGGCAGTTCTCCAGATCTTTCTTGACCCCCGGGATCTCACTCGCTCATGCAGGGATCAAACGCACGAAACTGCGTCTGCTGCGATGTCGACATCGGATGAAACTTACCCATCAGGAACGGCTCAGCGATGCTCGCGCGGACAACAACCTCGCCGACGTGCCTCGCATTCCGGCGCCCTGGGATGTGAAGCCTCCTACAGACGCGTCGAGTGATGCCACTGAATAAAGAGAATCTGCGTCTTCGCCCTAGACGGCCGTGTCTGACTCTATCTATCATCTATGGATCATCCATCATCTCTCATCCGCATTTGTATTCTTCGAGTGGTTGCATAGCTAGCTGTACCAGTACCCGTAAATATTACCTGTATTTGTCGTAATCTGATTTCTGGCCGCAGTCTGGGAACCTTTTCCGTTCCATGCGTTGCTCAAGGTTTAAGCCTGGACTTGACAGGTGGAAACCAGAACATTAGGCTTGGATACGGGCACCATCATGATGAGATGATGGTATCAATGTCAACTTCAATCCGAGTCACGTGCCACACAGGAATGTAAAACGGGGTCAAGGCCGGCGGTCCAGGCGCGACGATAAGAGCCAAAAGCAAAACTCCGGACATTCAAGCGCTCAAAGGGCACTCAGGAACCGGTGAATTACACGCGGAAAGAGCTGATTTACGCCTTGCTCGGTGAGTGACCACTGACCACCTGTCCGATCGGATATATGCATCCATGTCCCCGGATCAGAGTCGGTAAGACAACCGGGCGATCCATATATGTAGGTCGGCCACGTAGGTTGTTACCTCACGCTCGTCGTCTTTCCCCCTCGTCTCAGGACACGCACGATGTTCATTCTGCCTGCGCCCGTCTCGGCCACCGCCCTGCAGCTCGAGCTTGCCCTCCCGGCGTCTCCGGCATGGGTCTCGTCGCTCAGCATGCCGTACACCCGCCTCGCCCTCGTGCTCCTCACGACGCTCGCGATCCTGGCTCTCGTCAGGGTAGTCTTGTGCTCCCGCGCGCATGCCGTCATCCCCGTTGCACTGGCGGTCGAGAAGGCCGCAACCCCCGTTGCAACTGTCGCCGCGAACGAGAAGATAGCAGAGCCGGCCGTGGGGCACACACGGTGGCTCGCTCGACTGCTGTCTTGGAAGAAGAAGTCATCTTTGTCAGACATATCCGCATCGGCTCCGTCTATGGCACTCTCGCAGACTCTGCCCCTCGCCATCCGTCCCTCTGTTGCGCCGCCCATGCGCGGGCAGCGCGGAGTGCGCGGTGTGGGTCTCGCTCGACGGCCCGAAGTCCCTCGTGCCCTAGTCGATGTCCCCTGTACGCTGAGTCTCCGTTCCTGCATTGCCCGTCGTCGCTGATTTAGTGCCCAGTGCCTGCCTTGTTCCAATGTCAAACACCTGCTTCCATGGCGAAAGCGATCATGAGTCGTCATGTGAGTGGTTGTCCCTGTCCCAGCTCCTTTTTCTCCGGCGGCCCGCGCGGACTTTGCTCGGGCCCGAAGGTTTCTTCTCCTCCGAGCCTTACCCTCGCTTCTTCCGCATCCGCCTTCGTGCTGACACCATTTTTCTCCGCAGACGCACCGTCGTCCATCTGCCATCCCATCCTCGTCCTCCCGTCGCTCAACGCCATCGTCTCTCACTCGGTCTGTTTCCCACCCGTCTCCTTCCGCGGAGGAAGGAGCGGTGTGATGCGACCGAGGAGCAGGGCCCATCTGCCAGCGCCCGGGACAATCCGGCCGCTGCTGCTGATGGGTCCGTGATGACGAACTGACGACTGTCACGAGGTGGACCCTTCGCTGCATGAAGAACGTCCAGCATACCACATACCACACACACTCGATACGAAAGAGGCCCGCCGCGGGCTTTTTCCGGTCCTCGGATCCAGCCTGTATGCGCGTCCTCCTGATCGGGCCGCGCTGCCCGCCAGTGCCGGAATCTATTCTATTACTACGTTATTGTCCACAATTTGAATTCAATGGTATTAAATTATATCTGCGAACTGACGCTGGCTTTTCGTACTAGCATTCTGTTCCTGCTCCTGACGGCGCGCGTGGCTGCATGTCAGTTCCGCTGCTCTGAGTGCTCGCATGTTCCGAGCGGTCAAGAATGGATCGTCCGAACAACGTCCGTCGTTCGAGCTGCCAGTCACTCGGGGACATGTATGGATGGGCGTCTGAGACAAAGGTATACCCACAACGTAAGTCATTCGCAAGAGCGGCAGATCAGTGCTGAGCGTATGTCCCTTGAACGAGCAAATGCATTCCAAAAATATCTGTTTAGATTCCGGACCATGAACCACAAGCCAATATTGCGCTTTCACCACGGAATCAGGGCCTGGTCTGCACTGATATCGAGGCTGAGTATACCGACTCTGTAGTGTGGGCTTTGGGGCAACGATGAAAAAAGTTCGAGCGGGAACTTGATCAGATAGACTGAGGAGAAGAACAGTATTGTGTTGGTTGGTATACCTCCAATGATTTTGCGCTTACGACCAAAGAGCTAAGGTGTGCGTCACCGCAATACAACCAAGCTGGAGTCAAATTTATTACACTCTCATCTCTGATCCTCTGGCAAAAAACAGTCCAAATAGACAGCAGTTTAATCTCTCAAGAGGGATTTTTGCTTGCCTCAGAATTCACAAAAAGTTTTTTTTTAATGTCAAGGCAAATTGAGAGAAGATCAGTGATGTCGTCAATACATCAATCACGTGCCAAAACACAATGGCCCTATTCAGGCCGGTATTCAACAGGATTGCAGACTGGATATCTTCCTGTATGAAAAAGCGCAGCTGCTTCAATACGTAAGCATTGCTTCTGGCCCATAGCTGAGGAGAAAAAGTGGTGAGTATTTAAAAATCTTTCTGGAGCAAAATTGAGAAATCAATAAGTATTGGCATCAGTGATTGTTCCAATATGGTTGTGTTTAGCTGACATGCACCACAGGCGACGCGCACCGTCATACTTGGCGGAAACTGCCGCTTCTCAAGCTCATTTTCGGGGAACGGAGCGTCCGACTGGGTCGGATTCGTGCCGTTCGACTCGGAGAAGGGACTGCAATCGAGGGTTACTAAGCTCAGTGTTACAAATGCAACGTTTCCGGACTGGCAGCGAAGCACTGAGAGAAGGGCCATGCCGAAGGATGACGCGTGTGGTCGCCGTCGTCGCGGCGGAGATGCTCGTCGCCTATGGGCCAAGGAGAGCAGGACTCGTTATTCATAAGCCCCAGTGTGTTATGGAGTATTTAAACACGGGTGGATTGGCGCAGCTGGGGCAGTCAGCGGATCCTCTCGTCTTCAATGACGCGAATTTCAGCCATGCTCTCTTCTGTACTGCTCTTTGCTCTCGCCGCCAGTGGCGCCCCAACGGTGCAACTCGGCAAAACGGCAGTGGTTGGGCGCAGCTTATCGACGTTCGGCCAGGAGTTCTTCGGAGGTGCGCTGCCCGGCTGCTTCAACGTTGCCTCAAGCTGAGGCTCCAAAGGCATCCCGTATGTCGCAAAAATGTTTAATTTATGATCAGTCCTGACGGACCGATATGCGGCTGATTTGAACTGACGGCTTGTTGTCAGACCCTGACCACATATCCTCAGGCGGTGGTCAGGCCGGTAAGATCTTGTCAGGTATGCTCAGACGGGAGTCAGCCTCTGGTCAGTTTGGGATCAGGTATTATAAGTTGTAATAAGGCTATGTCTTTGGGAAATGCTACGGATCAATGACATATATGTTGTACCGCATTCAGAGAGCGTAAGATATGTCCGCATCAACTGTGTCGACCAGATAATGGATTTCTCGACCTGAGTTTTGCTATCAATTACCCAAATCTCGATCGTGGACGAAGGACTCGCCTTGAAAGACAGTTCCGCACTCATGTACATCTCAGGAAACTTGTTGGCGAGGAATTAGCGGAGTTGGACATCGAAGTTACGGAAAAGCTCGTCATTCTCTGTATTTTTTCAGCCTATCAGAGCTCAACTGTCCCCGTAGTCCCATGGCGCACCGAAAACCCAGTGAGAATCAAGATTGGTTGGAGCGATCTTCAACAGGAAGTCGACGCTTCAGAGGGCGACGAGGTCGTTGTTCGTGTTCAATACACGTTCACTCGGATTCTTCAAAGCGCGCGTACTATCACGCGTTCATGCTGCTTTACGCGCTCACGCTGCGCCGCGTGAGTGCCGTGCTGGTCAACTAGGGCTGGACGAATCGGCACGTCGACATCGTGCTCGCGTACCCCCGTTCGGGCCCGCCGCGACCGTACGCACGCGCGTCGTGTACCCCTCATGCGACACGCGCGAGATGGCGCGGCTGCCGCTCGCGGGGAGGGAGCGCGTGATTCCGATGCAGCTCCGCGCATTGCATTCACTGCTGCAGAACCGCCCGGAGTACGCTGCGCGGGGCGTGCAGCCGGTCATGATCGGCAGATGCCTATTCTGGACAGAACCATGTGCAATTCGTGCTGAACGCACCGTACTCGCAGGTGCTCGCTTGGCTGGGTCGTGCTGGATGAACACTTCAGGATCAATGTTATGGAGTTCATGGTACGTCGCCTTCTCTCTCTTCTCTTTCGCTTTGGTCAGCAGCGCTGACGCACAGGGCCAGGCGGCTGGAGTGATACCCATTGTACATGCATCCGGCGGCCCGCTCGTTTGCGTTGATGGCGACGCTTGCCAATGTATCCGAGTCCTTGCAGCTGAGCGTCGAAGGTGGACCTCAGAGGATATGGTCTCGGCTTGTTGTGATGCGCAGACCGCAAAGTTCCAATGGCAATATCGTTGGGAAGATGTCGAGAGATATGTTGAACTTCACAGTCCTGTGTAGAAAGATGCTGGTACGCTGCGAGCTGCGAGTGGAAGGGTCGTTCTGGTTTGCGTCATCATGATGCAAGTGGCTGTGTTAAGTCTCCGACGACACTTAGCACTGGAGCACACAGTGCAACATGCGCCTACATAGTGTAGTGGTCTGTAGTGGTCTAGTAGTTCATGTTCTCGCGTTCGATTCCCACTGTGAAGTAAATCGAGTGAAATTATTATCATTAAGGCTGAATAACAGTGTCACATCAATTAATTAAATTAATTGAATATCCAAGTGAAAGTGAAGCGATACCCTGTTCAAATGCAGTGCCAAACGTGAATGTAAAAAAGTGAAGATGGAGCAAGGAAGAAAGCCTGTTCTCCTTTTGTCTTCACCGCTGAAACCAGGGCCTGGTAGTTTTCTGATCAACCGCTGATTCCCGCCTGACTGACGTCCGATACTCACCTGATGCGTTGCTGACCATTCCCTGATCAACGTCTGATCACCGTCTGATGACGACTGATTCAACCTTTCCTACGGAGATCAGCCAGTCATCAGGCTGAAGGCCTGAGCCCTACCTATCAGCGCTGACCATAACAGATATGCCAATTCAGATTTTTGCGACATACGCAAAACCACCGCTCGGCGATCTCCGCTTCCGCCCTCCGGTTCTGACGACGTCGCTGACCGGAACCACGCTCGATGCCGCGCAATTCGGGGCGTCGTGCATCCAGGGCGCAAGCGTAAACCTCCCCGGTGTGCGTACAGCTAAGAAGCGTCGCTGCAGAGATGGTGCTGATCAGATTGCTGCATGCAGAATCTCCCCAGCGGCTCCCCGGTGTCCGAGGATTGTTTGACGATCAATATTCTCCGCCCTGCCGGTGTCAATTCCACCTCAAAACTCCCTGTGGTGAGCAAGCACGGTCTCGAGCCGCTTTTCCCCTGAATATATCTGATCCCGGTCGGACAGATGTTCTGGACGTAAGAATCCTTTCTGCGCGTAGCTCCAAGCGCCAATTCAATCGAGCACACATCTTTACAGATACGGCGGTGGATTCATTACCGGTGCCTCCGTGCTTTACAACGGCAGCGCCATCGTTGAGCAAAGCGTAATTCGAGTACGTCTCTCTCTTTCTCTCTCATACAGGAAAATCTGACAAGGCTTGATCGCGCAGGGCACACCTGTCATCTTCGTCAACTTCAACTACCGCCTCGGACCTTTCGGCTTCCCCCAAGGCCAGGAGGCGGCGGATCAGGGAGCGCTGAACCTCGGCATCAAAGACCAGATCGCTGCGCTCGAGTGGGTGCAGAAAAACATCGGCAAGTTCGGCGGTGACGAACGCAAAGTCCTCGCGTTTGGAGAAAGCGCGGGAAGCATCCTCACGTCGATCTTGTTCTTGAACAATCGGGTCGATAAATTGGCGCGTGCCGCGGTGCGTATCTCGTCAACATCGATCTTTTCGTCAGGCAAGGACATCTGAGCCATGTCATAGATTTTCGAGTCCGGATCGCAAGCCACAGTGGCGATTTTTCCCGCGGCGCGCCGGGAGAATCTCTGGACCAACTTTGTGGGGAGTGTCCCCTCCTGTGCCTCCCTCGCGGGCACACATTCGACGTTCTCGTGCCTACGGAACGCCACCACTCAGGAGCTCAGCAGCGGCTTTAACACTGCCTTAGCAGAATCCGCCGAACCCTTTCCGTGGGACCCAGTTATCGACGGTCCCCAGGGCTTGATCCCCGATCTGCCATCGCGGCTGCTGGCGCAGGGCAACTTCTCGCGGATTCCTTTCATTGCTGGGACCAACCTGGACGAGGGTGTGTTGAATCATTCATTTCTCCAAGCTCGAAAAGCTCACTCGTGTGATCGCAGGAACTCTGTTTACCTCGCAGTCGCTCAACTCCACTGCCGCGGTCAACGCATCATTGATCCCGGAACGCTTGCCGTCGGTCTCCCCTGCGGTTCTCCAAAGTTCCGTTACAGAACTCCTGGAACTCTACCCGGATGTTCCTGCCCTTGGTGTGTCGTGTCCATTTCTCTTGTCCCGTGCGCAGCTGACCTGTATTCTCCAGGATCACCATTCGGGACAGGAAACAACACCTTCGGTCTGAGTAGCCAATTCAAGCGCGCTGCAGCTATCGGTGAGCAGAATTTGAACTTTCAGGATCAATTCCTAGAATCTCAATTTTTCGTCAGATGGAGATCTAGATTTCCACTCCCAGCGGCGACTGTGGATCGAAGCGGCAGCTAGTGCCGGTGTAAAGACTTTCGGGTATCTGTTCACCCAGCCACAGCCAGACGGCCTGCCTCAGCTCGGCGGTACGTCCTGCTCGATCCACCAAAAACTCCATCAGGCACTGACTCGCTGTTTCCGCGTCTAGTTTCGCACGGATCCGAGATCGTCTACGTGTTCGGCGCGCCTGTGGACACGTCGCCCTCATCGGTGGCCATAAGCCGCATCATGATCGACTACTGGGTCTCGTTCGCGACGAGTCTGACCCCGAACGACGGGCTCGGCACCCCGCGCGCGGAGTGGACGCCGTTCACGCCGACATCAAAAGTGAGCCTTCGAGCATCGCTGCCGCCGTAATGGTGACTAATCTATGTGCCCGCACAGTCGCTCATCCAGCTCAACGGGGCAAATCTGACGATGATTCCTGACACCTATCGCGAGGGTGAGTCCTCTGCTTGGCTTGCTCCCCCTTGTGTGATTTCTCATTATCTACAGAGCAAATCTCCTTTATCAACTCGAACCCAGTGATATGGCGTCACTGAGCCGTTTATTGTCGTCTTCATCTGTAGTCAAGTCAATCCATATATGTTGCTTTGGTGCTTTAGTGAAGCTCGAGGAACTCAAAGCTGGTTCAATACATCGTCGGTTCTAAATCACACCGCCGTCTCATTCCATGTCACGGCGGATTGGCTGTGCATCTGTATGTATGGTAGATCTTCTCTTTCTCTATCTTCTTACTTTTTAGTCCATTCTTACATCCACCTGGCCGGAAAAAAGCTCTTCTTGTTAGATGCATAAGTACGGACTCAACGGAGTTGAGGAGCACTTATGGGTGAACAACTGAGCCATACTTACTCTCATGCACAGCAATTTCAAAACAGATTGCTGTTCCATGGATACAACACTGTTCTCAGTACCCGATCCTATGCGCTACCTGGCTACCCACTCGTTTCTGTGAAGATCCTCTGCTTGATCAGCTCGGCAAGCGCAGCGGAGACATCCTCTCTAAGATCATGTTGCCAGATTGGGTCCCAAACTCCTTGAAAATGGCTTCGCATGTCGTTTTTCTGGTACCCGGGAAGCCCGCAGCGCTCATAATGAAGACCGGCTGCAAAACTTCGATTCCAGACCATCTCAGCACGTGGTCGACGGATGCAGTCGTATACAGCCAGAATGGACTGTGGGTCACGTGTTTCAGTACAGTATGTCATCCGAATGACCGAGTCTCGTTTACTGACCTGCAGATTGGAGAGATTCGTCTGAGGGTGACCGAGCAACTTGCAGAGAAGAAAAACATCCTCGAGTCCTTGTCCGAATCCCGAGCCGAGATGCGGACACATTGCGTGGGCCTGAAAATCTCCCGAATCAGCCCAGAATAGCCACGGAAGAGATACGTACTGCATCTCCGACCAGGACGACTCTGTCTCGCGAGTATCTCTCCAGCGGTTTCAAGTGATGGATGAACCATTTGGTCGGCTTCTCGATGTGCTGAAGGATCGTCTGCACGTCAGGGCCCCAGTGTGCATACGCGTCGACGAGTTCTTGCTGAGGCACCCGCTGAACCCACGATCCGGCCACTTGCACAGATCCAACCGGAACCCCAGTTTCGGTAGCAAAGGCCACGATGTTGATCTACACGAGCAGTTGAGATGAGGGCAATCCGACAAAGGCGTGGCTTACCTTTGTGCGCTTTTGGATGGGATAAACGATGATGTGCTCGCACATAATTCAGCGATCCCACACACGTGCTGGAGCTGGCCTTGACCTACCTTGCCGATGCCCACAAAGTTGAACGTGCGGCTGGTCAGATCCGTTCTCACGCCGGCTCCTTTTAAGACATCCCAGGGCACAACTCCTCGATATGCGACCGTATTCGTGAAGTCGAGCACTTCCTTGTTGTCTTTCCCAGTCAAGAAAGTCCGGGATGAGCTGTGGATGCCGTCTGCTCCAATGACCAGATCCGCTTCGTGTGTAGTGCCGTCCGAGAAGTGGATAGTGTATGCGGATGTTCCAGAGACTGTAGAAATAGATGTGAGACGTTTCTTGAAATGCATGTGGCTGGGATCCGGAATCAAAGGGAGCACCGCGTCAAGAAATGTCGGCCTGAATATGTTGAGTATCTAGTTTGACGTGGGCGTGAATCACGACAGACCTGTAAATGCTAATACCTCCATCCAGAGATCCACAGTCAGGCTGTAACGATTTCAGTCTCATGTCTCATCAACGGGCGATGGCGCACACTATCCCCGTAATCGTATAGCACTTGATGGTCACCAAGACCAGAAACGAACACCATCCTACGATCCGCGTGCTCGGATGCTTCAGGGAGGTTCATAATCGAGCTAAGAATTCCGAGCTCATTCAGTGCCTGCAAGGCATTCGGTCCTGCCACGACCTCAGAAGCGGGTCCGAGAGCCAGGTAGAAGAGAGCACGAACCGAGACCGATACCAGCCCCGACTTCTTCGAACTTGGCCTAAGAGCAAGTGAGAGGAATATTACTCCCATCGGCGCAGAGTCTCCGCACGGTAGCTTCAAATAGATCAGCATGGATACCCGCACGCGCCAAACCGACGGCACAAGCCAGTCCACACATCCCACCGCCGATAATGGCCACCCGGAAGTCCTTGCTAGTTTGGACTGGAGATTTCGCGGAAGAGTCCATTCGAGCAATGGCAAGATGGGTGGAAGAGTGTGTTCCGGTTCACTTAGGATACAAATACTGTAGAGTTTCGTTTCGGCAGGGAGTCCGCCGGCAGTGATTGAAGACACCCTTGGTTCGAAATTCGATGAGTTCGGCCCCCGCGGTGACTGGAGACATGTAATATCTTGGTTCGACGCAGGATCTTGGGTAGAAGCTTGCCGCGACTGCCGTAGATGCGATTATTTAGCCGTTTGATATCCAACATGGCTTCCAAGTTCTATGACAGAAGTATGATAAAATTTCTGTGAATCTGGCGTTTTCATACCCATAATTGGTGTTTGGCGGCCGAAAGATGAAGCATGCTGTAATAGGCTGTAATGTACCAGATATGCCCAAATATGTCCGCTATACGTGAAAAATTTGAATTTCAGCTGCCATTTTGTCGTTCTGAAAGTTCAGTTCGGGCCCAAGTTCGACGCCCCGGTGACCAGTGACATGAATTAATGAACTTCGATTCGCAGCCCCCCGGTGACCGGTGACTCGAACACCCAGTCGAAGCTGTTCAGTATCCTCTTCTATGCAACATTTGCTTACTCTACTTATGTGACCTATGTTGCCATGCACTATGAATAAGTACTATGCTTTACTAATGCAGCGATTACAACTTCCGGGGTCCATCTCAAGCGTAAGACCGATTATCATTCCATCAATTAGACATGATCTCCGAGCCTCTATTCATCGGTGATTGTTTAAATCTGGTCGTGTTTAGCCGGCATGCACCATAGTTGGGGGAAACTGTCGCTTCTCAGGCTTATTTTCGGGGAACGGAGCGTCCGACCGCGTCGGATTCGTGCCGTTCGACTCGGAGAGGGGACTGTCATCGAGGGTTATCAAGCTCAGTGTTACAAATGCGCCGTTTGCGGACTGGAAGCGATGTACGGAGAGAAGGGCGATGCCGAAGGTTGAAGCGTGCGGTCGCCGTTGTCGCGGGAGAGAACCTCGTCGCCTATGGGCCACTGCTCTCCTTGGCGGCCAAGGAGAGCAGGACTTGTTACTCATACGCCCGAGTGTGTTATGGAGCATTTAAACAGAGATGGATTGGTGTGGCTGGAGCAATTAGCGGATCCCCTCTCATCTGCGATGACGCGAATTCCAGCCATACTCTCTTGTGTACTGCTCTTTGCTCTCGCCGCCAGTGGCGCCCCAACGGTGCAACTCGGCAAAACAGCCGTGGTTGGGCGCAGCTTATCGACGTTCGGCCAGGAGTTCTTCGGAGGTGCGCTCCCCAACTGCTTCGACGTTCCCTCGAGCTGAGGCTCCAAAGGCATCCCGTATGCCAAACCGCCGCTCGGCGATCTCCGCTTCCGGCCTCCCGTGCTGACGACCTCCCTGAACGAAACCACGCTCGATGCCGCGCAATTCGGGGCATCGTGCATCCAGGGCCCGAGTGACAACTCCCCCGCTGTGCGTACAGCCCAAGCAGCCACGTGGCAGAAATGGCGCTGATCAGAGTCACGCATGCAGGGTCTGCCTAGCGGCTTTCCGGTGTCCGAGGACTGTCTGACGATCAATATTATTCGTCCTGCCGGTGTCAACTCCACCTCGAAACTCCCTGTGGTGAGCTAGCACGGTTTCGAGCCGCTTTCCCCCTGAATCGATCTGATCCCGCGCGGACAGATGTTCTGGACGTGAGATTTTTTTCCGCAGCTCCAAGCGCCAATTTAATCGAGCACCTATCTTGGCAGATACGGCGGTGGACTTATCTACGGGGCCTCCGTGATCTACAACGGCAGCGCCATCGTTGAGCAGAGTGTGATTCGAGTACGTCTCTCTCTCTCTCATCTAGGACACTCTGACCAAGCTGCATCACGCAGGGCACTCCCGTCATCTTTGTCAACTTCAACTACCGTCTCGGCCCGTTCGGCTTCCCCCAAGGCCAGGAGGCGACGGATCAAGGAGCGCTGAACCTCGGCATCAAAGACCAGATCGCTGCGCTCGAGTGGGTGCAGAAAAACATCGGCAAGTTCGGCGGTGACAAGCGCAAAGTTCTCGTGTTCGGAGAGAGCGCGGGCAGCATCCTCACGTCGATCTTGTTCTTGAACAGTCGGGTGGAAAAATTAGCACGTGCCGCGGTGCGTAATTCATTAACATCGATCTTCCTGTCAGGCAAGGAGATATGAACCACCTCAAAAGATTTTCGAGTCCGGATGGCAGGCCACATTGCCGATCGTTCCCGCGACGAGCCGGGAGAATCTCTGGACCAACTTTGTGGGCGGCGTCACTTCCTGTGCCTCCCTCGCGGGCACCCATTCGACATTCTCGTGTCTGCGGAATGCCACCACCCAGGAGCTTCTCGACAGCTTCAACGCTGCCTTTGCAGGGTCCGCCGAACCTTACCCGTGGGACCCGGTGATCGACGGTCCCCAGGGCTTGATCCCAGATCTCCCATCGCGGCTCCTGGCGCAGGGCAAGTTCTCCCGAGTTCCTTTCATCGCTGGAACCAACCTCGACGAGGGTGTGTTGAATGAACCATCCAAGTTGAAAGCTCACTCACGCAATCGCAGGAACATATTTCACCTCGCAGTCGCAGTCGCTTAACTCCACTGCCGCCGTCAATGCATCCTTTATCTCGAAACGCTTGCCCTCAGACTCGCCTGCGGTTTTCCAAAGTTCGGTTACGGAACTGCTCAAACTGTATCCTGATGTTCCTGCCCTTGGTGTGTATTGTTCATTTCGCTTGCCCCATGCCCATCAAATCTGTTCTCTCTAGGATCACCATACGGGACGGGAAATAACACCTTCGGTCTGGGCAGCCAATTCAAGCGCGCTGCAGCTATCGGTGAGTCAAAAATCGAACCATCAATCTATACCATCTCTCAATTTCTCGCAGATGGAGATCTAGATTTCCACTCCCAAAGGCGGCTGTGGATTGAAGCGGCAGCTAATGCTGGAGTGAAGACTTTCGGGTACCTCTTCACCCAGCCGCAGCCCGACGACCTGCCTCAGCTCGGCGGTACGTTCCGCTCGATCTACTAAAAACCCAACCAGGCACTGACTCGCTCGGGGTCCGCGTCTAGTTATGCACGGATCCGAGATCCCCTACGTGTTCGGCGCGCCGGCCGACACGTCGCCCTCATCGGTGGCCATAAGCCGCATCATGATCGACTACTGGGTCTCGTTCGCGACGAGTCTCACCCCGAACGACGGGCTTGGCACCCCGCGCGCGGAGTGGACGCAGTTTACGCCCAGATCAAAAGTGAGCCATCGAGCTTCGCCACGGCCGTAATTGCGACTGATTTATTTGCTCGCACAGTCGCTTATGCAGCTCAACGGGGCGAATCTGACGATGATTCCTGACAACTACCGCGAGGGTGAGTCCCTTGCATGGCTTGTTCTCCCTTGTTTGAATTCTCATTATTTACAGAGCAAATATCCTTTTTTAACTCGAACCCAGAGATATGGTGTCACTGAGCTGTTTATCGTCGTCTTCATCTATCGTCAAGTCAATCCGTATATATTGCTTTGGTGCTTTAGTGAAGCTCGAGGAACTCAAGAGTGGTTCAATTCATTGTTAGTTCCAAGTCGCGGTGGAATCGGCTATGCATCTGTGTGGTAGATCTTCTCTTTCTCTTTCTTCTCCCTTTTTCGTCCATCCTTACATCCACCTGGCCCTCATTCACCACATTGATGGTTAAGATCTCACGTCCCTAAATGAGTGCCAGTTCATGTTTCTCGCGTATGTAAGGAATTTCTGACTTCGGGGCTTTACATGGCAAGAGGGGCCATACTTTTTTCCGCGGAAAATATGCCACAAGCTAGAAGTGCGATTCTCACTGTTCTCTTCGCAGATTGCAAAAAAAAAAAAGTTCTTTTTTCAATAGAATAGACATCCGTTCTCATCGAAAAGTGATTGAGAAAAAGATGGAAATAGAAACCAAAAATGGCTGCTCTGGGTGCTTGCATGTTTCCCAGCGGTCCAAATAGAGCATCAGTTGTTGAACCTATCAGTCTGTTCGGGGTTGCATAGAAGGTCGTATCAAACACAAGTAACCGTCACTCACAACTTAGGCGGCAGATCAGTGTTGAACGCAGATCTCCCATTCCTTACCCCTTGCACAATATGGATGTCCATACGTATTTCGAACACAACTGTTCAGAACCCAGATCCTGGACCTACCACTCACCATTAATCACGCTTTCATTAATTATGCTTTTACCACGGGGTCCGGGCCTGGTCCACGCGGATCGAGGCTAAGCACACCGACTCTAATGCGGGCTGCGGAGCAACGACGAAAGAAGTTCCAGCAGTGCCTTGATACGGTAGACTCAGGAGAGGAAGGGCCGCAGTCGCGGGTTACCATGCTAAGTATCACATGGCGTTTCTGGATTGACGGCGAAGTACTGATTGGCTGATTCGAGTCCGGAGAGAAGGGAGATGCCGTTTGATGTGAATGAATCGTCCTGCGGTAGGAACAGCATCAAGCGCTTGAAGGGCCGACGATCGGGAGGGTGTCCTGACAGTCGAGATGCAGTCCTCCTCAGGCCGAGTGGAAAGTGCAATGGGGTATCCGGAAGGATGTGCGACCCTTTGTAAGTAAGGGGCGGGGGTCACCTTCAAGCAAGCACGAGGGTCATCGAGATTGAGTTGATGAAGGTTGGTACCAACTTCCAAAGAGCGCAGGCAGCATCAATTGAAAGCGTGGCTGATTGACGTGGGAGATCAATGTCCAATCAATCCTGCACGTGACGGATGGTGTCCTCGGCCGTTAGCGATAATGAGAGGGCCGATGAAACACCATCGTTTCAAAGTCCAGATGTATGATAACTGAATCCATCCCGAAGCCGCCGCAGTACATATCTTTGCAAGACGCTCGATGGGAATCAGAGCTGCGTATGGAAGGTTGTAACGAGCATTTACAAATCGAAGAAATCGAACTTTGCTTCATCTGGTCACTTGCCGTTGATTGTGCTTGACGTTCTTCCCGTTGCGATGAGACCTTCATATGCATAGGCTGCTGCGATCTATCTCATCTTTTTCAAGATGATGACCGCACTGCGGTCTGGTTTCGCAACCTGGAATCACGGGCCTGTATTGACTCATGCCGAGGGACAACTGAAAACTGGGTTAAATTTACGCATGCTAAAGATACAGAGTTTATTTCTTGCGTGCTGCCGGTGAGGTGGAACCGACTGAAGTGGAACCGGCTGAGGATGACGTGCTTCGTCTTCGTCGTCTCCGCACTGACGACAGCTCTTGGCTGCTTGGTACTCTGCCACTGGCGTGAATTGTCTCGGCCATATTCCATTCCTGATCGGCTGACTGCTGGAACCAGCCAGAGCGGGTACTTACTGTGTCTATATGACGTGCGCGTTCTTCTTCTAGAGGTTGGTAGCATGTTGCGAACGGCAGCTCGACCAATGCGGTGACTGAGATGGATCTCAGCTGAGCGGTGCAGCGACACGAGATTCAGGATGAGAACGAACGGGAGGCGTTTTTGATGAGTGTCACTGCGCAGTGGTGCATCATCCCAGCAGTCGGGGCTGTTATCAAAGATCAGTTGTCCGGCTTGTGCGCATGCCTCCACAAGAAATGCAATGCAAACTTGGTCGAGCTTGTACAAGATTGAAACCCATCGTGGTTGATGAGTTGGGATCGGGGGTCCCTTCTTGCACGGCTTTATCTGGCTGATTGAGACTGATCTGCGTCTGATCTTCGGTGCGATCCACTGCACGGCCTGGAACGCAGATTCTCTTTCCCTTACGAAAACGGTGCCCCATTGTCGTAGACTTGTCCTCCACGCTTCTCGAAGTTGAAATCGATCGTCAGGGAAAACAGGACCCTCATCCTGGGTTTGACTGGCATTGTCCTGCCCCCCCGTGGTTGCTCACCTCTTAGCCTGACCGCCATTCATTATGGTGGGACCTTGTGTGCACGTGCACAGTTCCAAAATGTGCGCTCGACAGCATTTCTCCCTCACTGAGCAGTGACTTCCGATCAATTCTGATCAGGGATCTAAAGAATCCTGAGGAGCCAGTCAGCTGCAATCTCATCTGACACCGTCGCGCACTTGCCCCATGGGTGGCTCGTGGCCCAGTGACCCGTCTGGATTGCGCGATCAGGGTCCCTAGAGCAACACTGCCCGCATGAGAATCCGGCTATGCGCGGGGCCCGACCGAATTCTTCTGGGGGGAGGGACGCGAATAGCAGGGAACCGACGAGAGTCGCTGAAAGTGCGGCACGTGGCTGGGGTCGTGGGAAAGTGTCACTGCAGTTTTTTAAAGCCCAGGGATCCTACTGGAGCGCGCTGCCCAGTTTCTACTAGTTCATGGTCTGTCGCTGACTGAAGGTGTAATCACATGCTGTGGTTGGGTCTGCCCTCGCCACCCCGGACGCCGCGACTTATGCATACCCCACCCATCTGATCAGTCGAAGCAGTAACTGCAACATCAGCAGCAACAGCAAGCGATCATTCGCGCTGTCAGACATGCGGCGTCGGGAAACTAGGAACCGTTTGCATCGGCCGTGGAAATTTCAGATGTCCCATTCCATCTCCGCAGGTGTCTCGCCTGTCGCCGGCCTGTCGCTGGGGCCGGGCTATGTAGATCTTGCTGGGAGTGCAGATTTTTTTGCAGTATGCAACTGCTTAATTTTGTGCAAGTTGATAAGATCGCACCACCTTTCCGACAATGTTTGCACTGCATTCGCTGTGTTCGCACACGTCTATGATGGGTATCAGTGCGCCAGAAGATGTCATCAAAGAAACCACAGCGTCGTTGGAGAACAAAGGACCAAGTACATCTGGATATTTGAATATCGGTCTGGCACTTTTTTGGGTCCTACAACTGCGTTGTCGTGACACAATCCAGAAACGATTAATTTGCGTCGTGCGATGCCTCCTTAGTGAGATACTATTTGCGAGAGACTGACTTTGAGACACCGCCGGCCGGATGCTGTGCAAGCGCACGTTGGGATCCGGCCATCGAGGACGTGCCGGTAGCCGAAACGGCCATAAGCCTCGGAGAACCGAGTGGGTTCCTGTGACTGTGAGAGGCGGCGCGAGGAAACGGTCTGGCTGAATGGGGACTCGATATTCCCACGCCCAAGTGCGTCATGCACTCGAGCGTATTTAACCACGGCTGCATTGCGCAACTGGCTAGTCAGCGGATCCTCTCTCGTCTGCGATGACGCGAATCCCAGCCATGCTCTCCTCCGTTCTGCTCTTCGCCCTCGCCACCAGCGCCACTCCGACGGTCACGCTCGGCAAAACATCCGTGGTGGGGCGCAGTATACCGACGTTCGGCCAGGAGTTCTTCGGAGGTGAGCTGCGCAGCCGCTGCGACGTTCGCTCGCGCTGAGGGTGCATGCCCACGAACACAGGCATTCCGTACGCCGAACCGCCGCTTGGCGATCTCCGGTTCCGGCCTCCGGTTCTGACTACGTCGCTGAATGGAACGACACTCGATGCCACACAGTACGGCGCAGCCTGCATCCAGCCCCCGGGCGGGAATACCCCCGGCGTACGTACAGCCTGTGCTGCGCCGCTTGCGGAGTTTGTACTGATGTGTCCCCGCGTGTGCAGAGTGTGCCCAGCAACTTCCCGCTGTCCGAAGACTGTCTGACGATCAACATTCTCCGTCCTGCCGGTGTCAACTCCACCTCGAATCTCCCTGTGGTAAGCAAGCACGGATCTCAAGCCGTTTTTCCCCTGAATCGATCTGATCCCGGTCGGACAGATGTTCTGGACGTAAGCATCCTCTCTCCCGAGCGCAGCTCCAAGCGAGTTTAATCGAACATCTCTTTGAAGATACGGCGGAGGATTCCTCGACGGTGCCTCCGTGATCTACAACGGCAGCGCCATCGTCGGGCAGAGCGTCCTTCGAGTACGTGTCTCTTACCCACTCTCATCCAGGACTCGTTCTGACAAGGCTTGATTATGCAGGGCACTCCCGTCATCTTCGTCAACTTCAACTACCGACTCGGCCCGCTCGGCTTTCCCCAAGGCCAGGAGGCGACGGATCAGGGAGCGTTGAACCTCGGAATCAAGGACCAGATCGCTGCGCTCGAGTGGGTGCAGAAAAACATCGGCAAGTTCGGCGGTGACAAGCGCAAAGTCCTCGCGTTCGGAGAGAGCGCCGGGAGTATCCTCACGTCGATCCTGTTCTTGAACAATCGGGTTGACAAATTGGCGCGTGCCGCGGTGCGTAATTCATTAACATCGATCTTCCTGTCAGGCAAGGAGATATGAACCACCTCAAAAGATTTTTGAATCCGGATCGCAGGCGACAGCGGCGATCTTCCCCGCGACGCGCCGGGAGAATGTCTGGACCAACTTTGTTTCGGGTGTGCCCTCCTGTGCCTCCCTCGCAGGCACACATTCGACGTTCTCCTGCCTGCGGAACGCCACCACCCAGGAGCTCACCAGTGGCCTGCTGACTTCCCTGGCAGAGTCTGGTGAAGAGTTCCCGTTCGACCCTGTGATCGACGGGCCTGGGGGCCTGATCCCCGATCTGCCGTCGCGTCTGCTGGCGCAGGGCAAGTTCTCGCGGATTCCTTTCATTGCTGGGACCAACCTCGACGAGGGTGTGTTCAATCATTCCTTTCTCCAAGCTCGGAAAGCTCACTCGTGTGATCACAGGAACTCTGTTTACCTCGCAAACGCTTAACTCTACTGCCGCGGTCAACGCATCATTGATCCCGGGACGCTTGCCGTCGGTCTCGCCTGCCGTGCTCCAAAGTTCGGTGACGGAACTGCTCAAACTCTATCCTGATGTTCCTGCCCTCGGTGCATATTGTTCATTTCTCTTGCCCCATGCCCATCAAACCTGTACTCTCTAGGATCACCATTCGGGACGGGAAACAACACCTTCGGTCTGAGCAGCCAATTTAAGCGCGCTGCAGCTATCGGTGAGTTAGAACTTGAACTTCGAGGCTCAATCTATACCATCTCTTAATTTCTCTCAGATGGAGATCTGGATTTCCACTCCCAACGGCGATTATGGATCGAAGCGGCAGCTAACGCCGGTGTGAAGACTTTCGGATACCTGTTCACCCAGCCGCAGCCCGACGGCCTGCCTCAGCTCGGCGGTACGTCCTACTGAAAAGAACGAAAAACGCAACGCAGCACTCACGAGGGCTGCGTGTCTAGTCTCGCACGGATCCGAGGTGTTCTACGTGTTCGGCGCGCCGGCGGACACGTCGGCCTCGTCGGTCGCGATCAGCCGCATCATGATCGACTACTGGGTCTCCTTTGCGACGAGTCTGACCCCGAACGACGGGCTCGGGATCCCGCGTGCGGAGTGGACGCAGTTCACGCCCGCATCGAAAGTGAGCAATTCGGCTTTTGAAAAAGTTTTCGGTGTGACTGATTTGCTTGCACAGTCGCTCATTCAGCTGAACGGGGCGAATCTGACGATGATTCCTGATACCTACCGCGAGGGTGAGTCTCTCTTGCTTAGCTTGTTCCCCCATGTGTGATTTCTCATTATTTACAGAGCAAATTTCCTTTATCAACTCCAACCCGGTGATATGGCATCACTGAGCTGTTTTATGTCGTGTTCAACTGTAGTCAAGTCAATGCATATACATCACTCTTGTGTTTTAGTGAAGCTCGAGGCACTCGAACCTGCACCGACTCGTTGTTCGGTCTAAATTGAAATGCCGTTTCATTCCATATCACACAGCTTCCTCTCAATGGAAGGGGTTGATCGCGCATTTGCGTAGTATGTCTCCTTGATTTAGATCTCCATCGTCGTCCCATTCTCTGTTCTCAACGTACGGCGTAGGATAAGAGCCCCGCCGTTCCGCATACCCAGCATGCATTCATAATTTGGGTGGGATCTGAAACCCTTTGAATTCAGGTCTTCATCACAGCGGCAGACCGTACCAATCACATTACAGTAATACCAAGTTGTGAACGTCACGGATGCGGAACAAGTGATTTTAGTCACGGGATCGCGACTGACCCTAACCCTTCACCTGGCCGCCGCTCTATATCCCGATTCTCAAGGCCTCATTGTACCCACGAGTCACGACCATCGCCCCGCTGGGCGTCGTTTTCGGGTTGATGACCAACTCGCTAGAGCTGAAAACTCCTCGCCAATCGGCTGCGAGGGACGAATCAAGCCACCAACCGGCCGAAATGGAGCTAACGGCCGAAATGGAGCACACCGATGGCACGCGCCAGATCCCTTGTGAAATCCTCGCTGCAGTATTCCTCGCCTCACTCCCATACGATGAATACCCCACCCCCGAATCCCAGGTAGCTCCTCTATTGCTCATGCGTGTTTGCCGCCGTTGGAGACGCGTGGTGGCCTCGAGCTGTCGTCTCTGGACTTCGCTTCACATCGCTGCGCCCTCCGTCTCCCACGCGTCAAGTCAAGAGGGACAGTCCGGACTTCTCTCGATAGTTGACAGGTGGCTCGCACGGTCTGGGAGCTTGCTTCCCCTTTCCATCTCACTTGTCTCCGACTCCTTTTCGGTACTCGAGAAGCAACTGCTCTGCGCCATTCTCCCTTACGCTGGTCGCTGGCAACGGCTAAGGATCCGCCTGCCGTGGTCGGCACTGGAAGAAAGCTTGCTCTATCTGGCTGCAGCCGGAGTGCCAAAGCTCGAATCGGTCGACCTCGACCTGACTTTTCCCATGGAAGACATTGAGGACCTTTCTTTCCTCTCCTTTCTGTCTGGTCGTAATGTACGCGCATTGAAGCTTGTAGCTACAAACTCCTTGCCCCGCTGGCCTGTCCTCTGGGCCAACCTGGTGCATCTCGAGCTGGCCCAGGTGGATACCAACCCCGCCCTGGCCATCCTGCGCAGCTGCTCATCGCTCGTCCATCTGAAGCTGCTCAATCTGGAGCACAGCCGGACCTCGGCCCCCGTCTGCCCTCTCCCCCTCCTCCGCGATCTGTGCATCAAAAGCGGGGTGGGGATCGCCTTAGATTCGTTCTACCGCACCATCGACGCGCCTGTGCTCGAGAAGTTTGCGTTTGAGCCCGGCGGCCCAAGCTTCGGCAGCGCGTTTCCGTTCATCCCTCTTCTCGTCAACGCAGGTACCCATCTCCATTTTCTTGCGTTGAAGGTGTTCCCCGGGAGAGTTTTTTGGTACCTCGACTGCCTGAGACGGCTGCCGAGTCTGCATGAGTTGGTACTGGACGGGGTGCCTAGCGATATGGCCAAGCTAATACCCGGGAGCTTTGAAAAACCGGTCATAGCGTTTTGGCGGGCTTTCATTGTTGGTGGCATTGATCAGGAGGACCTCTTGCCCCAGCTGGAGAACCTGGAGCTGAGAGTCAGTGAGACAGCTCTCCTCTCGGATAACTTGTTATCCTCCATTATCACCTCCCGGACTCAGCAAGGAACGCGGAACAAGCTCAAAAGTCTGAAGGCGCGAATGGACCGGAACAAGGAGCGGGATTTGGAGCATACGTTCTCTGGTCTCCTCGACCTCTCTTTGAGTTACTCGAATGTTGTGTACTCAGAGAGCTACGGAACAGGGAGGGCGACCACTTGTTATGCTACGGGATCTGCGGCATTACCACCTAGCGATAACCCTCAGTAGCGCAGTACAAATCGCTATTTCAGAGTAAATACCAAACAAATTTCTTGTGATTGCACCAAAATCATCCTGTCAAAGGTTCGTTGGCTGTGCAGCCGTTGGGAACGCTCCACGCGTGGGAACGGAAAACCCAGACTGATGGTCAATTCTTGTTTCTACCGTCCTTGTTTGTGAGCCCAGTCCGATGTAATCCACAGTACTTGATAGTGCACTTGAAATGCAAGTCAGGCCAACATTGTCGGGGAGAGTGTTATCTTCCGGTGTGTTGCTTGTCATGAGCTAAATATGAACCCGAACACCTGACATTCGTCAGAGCCTCTCTTTCGATGCATCCACCGCCTCACCCTCCACTCGTCGCCGACATGATAAACCGAACTGAAAGCGCGCAGTGCGATCCGAGCGTCGACCCCTGCCGACAGCTCTTCAACATCCTCTGGGGATGTCTCGCGACGATATTCGCCTGCGTGTGGGTCTCCGTGCACCCGAACGTCCCACCGTCAAACCAGGGCGCAATCCGGGCATTCTGGTCGAGGCTCAAGATCATGCTCATCGCCGTGATTGCCCCGGAGATCGTCGTCGTATTTGCCGCACGGCAGTTCCTCGCTGCGCGTCAGTTCGCGAACGGTACGTACAGTAGTCTACCGGCCGAGACCGTATATGTGGGGCGAGCTCAGCGTTGATGGCCGACAGAGCACGGTGTCTCGATGGCGCATGGATTCTTCTTCGCGATGGGCGGATTCGTGGATGTGGACCGACGCCCCATATTCACGAACGAATCCTTGGAGCAGGCGGATGTGCTCAATGCTATCAGGGCAGTGCGCGTGGCCGACATCGAAGACAAGAGCAAGGGTGATGCTTTCTCCAAGGGCATCGCGTTGCTTCAGGGATTGTGGTTCATTGTCCAGTGCATCGCGAGGACCGCGCAGGGTCTCCCGGTCTCGGAGCTGGAGGTCTCGACGCTCGCATTCGCCATTCTGAATATCTTCATGTGGGCACTCTGGTGGCACAAACCCCTCGGCGTACAAGAGGGGATCGTCCTCATGAATGTCAAAGCCAGCTCTGTGGGGAAGGGTCCAAAGCAGGACAAACGACGTCCACCCCGCCGCTCGATATCGCGGTGGTTTGAGGAACGATTGGCTGAATTCGGGGGTGTATTTGTGGGTGACTATTGGGACTACTTTCAAGTCGTGGAGGATCTCCAATCGGTGCCCATGTTCTGGTCGACCGACGCGGACGACATCGACGTCCCGATCTACGGAAGAATGGCCATCGGCGGACTCGGCTTTCTCGCCGAAGCGTTCTTTGGCCTCGTCTTTGGTACAATCCACTGCGTGGCGTGGAATAGTCATTTCCCTTCTGTGGCAGAGAAGTTGTTGTGGAGGGTCTGCTCGATTATAATTGCCGTGACCCCCTTGAGCTTGGTCGGCTCTGTGGGACTTGTAAACATGCTGCCTCTTGTTGGGGATCTTCCATATATGCCGATTCCAGTGGCATGTGCTGTGTTATATCTATTGGCTCGGCCTGTGCTGATCGCTTTAACGTTCACGACCCTTCGACATCTGCCAGCGGGGGCTTTCTATGATATAAATTGGACAGGTTTTCTCCCTCATTTATCGTAGAGCTCGTAAACTAGGCTTTCATCGGAATCCATAATTTCACGTAAAGATGCTGGTCTTCAAGAGGCATGGTAAGGACGAGGAGCTCCATGCGATCATCCCCCGTTCACCTCGAGAGAATCTGAATCTATGCTCATTTCGAGTCACCAACGTCTTGCTCTCTCCGCTCGTTGTCTCTTTGAGGTCCATAGCTGACTCATCTCGGTCGGCTTGCCAGAGAACTGAAGGAGGTCCATAGTCTACCTCCCTAGCTCTATGGATTGAGAAGGGAACTCCCTTTTAGTACTGATGAATATCTTTTTGGGGGTCATAGATAAGACATCATAAGTCACTTTCTTTGCAGACCGCACGCCTGCATCTCAGTCAGCGTTTTCTATAACTGGTGATTTATTTTTGAGCCCATCGAACGTCTGTCGCTCTGTTCCCCTAACAGACAAACTCTATATTGAGGTTGAAATACGAATGAGACAATTAGAATAGATCGGCGTCTTGGTGGATATATATGGTCAGCTGCGGCTAACCTGCTCTGCATTCCGTCGCAACTGGAGCACCATCTCAGCTCGTCGAGGCGATACAGTCAAGTATGAGAACCACGGCACTCGTCTTTAAATCCATAAGGCCATTTATCCGCCAGATCCCCGAATTCATGTTGCTTGCTTCGGAGTAACTGCTTTGATTTTGTTTGTTTGAGCTCGTTCCGACAAGTGTCTTATCATTTTATGATTCTGATTTGGCTCATCCAGTCAATGATGTCGGAGTTTCATCACTTGAAAGATTGGACGGCCACGAGGCCAGAGATGGTTTGTCGGTGCGTATCAACTTAATGTGTGACCCACGATCATGGATTCGAGTGTGAAAATCTGTTCTCTGGCCATTTACCACATACCATAAGGATTAATTACCCTCCATGTCTATGCAGCCTGGAGAAGCGCATGTAGGAACAAGCAGCCATGTCATCAGGTTGGAATATGGGAGACATTCTCTGGGTCAATATTCTCATTTGATTTCGAAAGGTCGAAATCGCCACCGGATCAGTTTCACGAAAACACAGGTCATTTTTGGTGTCCTGCCAGGGTCTCTGTAGTACCGATCTGCTGAATGTTCGCAATCGTCATGGGAAGTTGATTGGACCAATCGAGAACGGCAGCGCGTCAAGTTTCAGGATCAAGCCGGAGTATACAGACCGTAGACCTGCCTCTCGAACGCGCATTTGCTGTCGGTGCCGCAGTGACCGCAGAGTGTTCGATTACTCCATCTCACCTGTCTGTGTACATTGCATCGTGTGTTCGTGTCGAGTTTCTGGGTCTCGAAATCAATCAACATCCACGGTGTGTAAAATCAAGATCAATTCAACTCAGGCTTTCTCTGCTTGAGTTAGTCTGCAATAGTTCAGGCTGAGCTCAGTCCAATCTTGATCTTATCTTATCGCTCGTGGATCCCATCGTGAAGATATCAAACTGATGTCTTGCAGTGCACAGATTAAGCCGTTTCAGTTGAGCTGATTGAATCGTCGTCCGATCACCTTGCCTATCTCGAGTATCGGTAAACTCTCTGTCATTCCATTGCATTTATGTACACGTACCGCTAACAGACAACTCTAGGGCTCAATGAACAGGATTTTGAAATTATACTAGTAAATAGTCTTGTCTCTAATAACGGACTGACTGCTTTCGAGAGATGTGAATAGATCAGTATTCATGTTTCAGAGCCTGCGCTCGAGTTGATATTGATTCCTGCAGATAGTATCTATCACCTTGTGAAGGCCGAACGACGGACAAGCTCGCAGGAGTCCTATCTGTTTTGCACTGCTGGATCCTCTCTGCGGCACAGAAGAATATTAACGCGGCCCTGATGTGTTTGTTGGGTCTCAGTTGAAACTCAAGAGAGTGCTGACATCGGTGACGCCAAACACGTGTCAAGGCTGTGCAGGAGGCAATGGTCGCCGATCACACTTGATCTCTTCTTCTGTGGGCTCAACAAGCCGGCCTTCCGCGCAAATGATCATTGAATCGGAAATGTGGGAATGGCTATGGGGCTGGCTCGATGGTCAAGATGATGCAGAGTGGGAGTGCGTGGTTTGAGGACTACGGGCTTTGATTGCTATTCAGAGTCGCGTATAAAGACTCTCAAGGCAGCGAGATGTCATTTACTCACAAGATAAACTCCTCTTCCCAGAAGTCTAGATGAGCTACTATAACCCTATCTCTCAGTGCAACAACTGTCGGTGAGTGCGATCCTCTTTCTATTGGAGAAACTTCTGTTTATAATCACTCTGCCAGGCGACGAAGAATAGTGCGTATGTCGTGTGACCTTGCATCCAAGTCTCACAAATTTAAGCAATGCGACGGTGCCATGCCGATCTGCACGCCATGCCAGATTCAACCGTCGCAAACTGCTCCCTGTGGATATACTGCGACCGATCCTGCTCCAGCGATGTACCCGCGGCCTGGATACACGAGTTCTGATGCCTATTCGTCGGATAGCTCAGGGAGTCTCAGTCGTGCGTCTTTCGTTCCTCTCGATCTGATTGTATATTCAATGGTATTCAGCGGAAAGTTCGCGGCTTCGCTCGGTGTCCAATTCCCCGTCTCCAGGATCCTCCCAGGTATGTCGACCATCGATCCGCCAGGAGCAATACTAACACACGCGACAGTCAGAGTTAACCTATTTCTGAGACTACTCTTTGGTCTAACAATCTGAGCAGTGGATCAGACCTTGATGTTTTCATCACACGCTTCAATCAATCACCGATATTCTATCTGGGCATTGCAAACTTACGAACTCTGTTCCAGGGACAGATCTCAACCAGTCTCCGGAGCGCCGTATATCTATGGAATGCTCACCTGACCGCACAGTTCCACGATCCCATGCCTACCATACAATCGCTTGCCCAAATCACAGCCCTGGCCCCGCAGATGTCCGACAACGAATTTTTGCAAACGCTCCAGGCTCAGGTCTTGATCTCTTATTACTGCCTGGACATCGGGCTCAAAGACGAGGGCCCGCAGATGATTCAATCTGCGTGGGCTCTGGCGTCGTGGGCCGGGTTACACATCGGAGGCAACCCAAGCGAGCACCGCGCGACTGCTTTCTGGGCTTTGCTTCTGACGCATAACATGTGGGTTGCGGCATCCGGCAGGACTCTCCAGTTTCCGTTCAATCTGAGAGAGGTCTCTGTTTCTTGGCCGACGGTACGCAAAGTTGACTGGACCCATCTGAACCCAAAGCTGAGCTCGTTTTAGAACGGGCGAGAAAGAGGTACCGCGCGGTACCCCATCTCGGAGTTTATGGACGGACTCGACCACCCGGAAGCCTTTTCTCCGTTCGCGCTTCTCATCAAGGCCTCTATACTGCTTGAACGCGTCATCACATTCTGCATGGGCGTAACCGGTACAGCATCCTTCATCTCTTCGGAGTCATATTGACCGAGCCAGATATAGAGCCAGCGCAGTTCCTCATCGTGCAGTCGCGCCTGCGGACATTCCAAGCTCAGCTGCCGGCGCTGGAGTCCAAATCGACCCTGGCCTCGCCGGGCTTCCATACCCTCCTCGTCGCGCGATGTTTCATCAACGTGGCCTACATTCGGCTCTGCGCGCTAGGAAGCGGGGGAGGATTAGCGCAGACGAGCTCACAGGCCAATATGGCACTTGCTCGAAGTGCTGCCAATCGCGTTGTTTCGGATCTCAAGAAAGCGGGAAACCTGCAGTGGAAATATGTGGAGCCGGTTCTCGGAGTGCGTACGCAACGATCAACGCATGACGCCTTTGACTCAACGTCTCACAGCCTCTCATGTCGACGACATGTTTTTGCTACTCGTCTGCACTGTGTCACGCTCAAGAGGCGATCACCAACAAACAAGTTATAGTAGAGCTTTTGGCTAAGTTTAGCCGATATTCAGAAACAATCCGTGCGTGTTTGATTCTTCGACGGGGATCTATCTCATAGTTGATAGGGCAATGCTATGCGGTGGTCCAGCGCTCTTAAATTGCAACGTCTCATTATTTATTTGCATACAGATAGATCTTTTACTACGTATCAGACAGAACTTTTTCTACTTATCCATCAATATTTAATCTAATCATGTCGTCTCGAGAGGGCAGTAGGTTCATACTCGCCCAAGGCATTCTTCTTGCTAAAAAATGTCTCTTAGAAACATTTCACCCCTGTCTTATCAACCTGAACTTAAAAGAGCATTGGGAGTCCTTTCCAGAAGAAAGTTGCATGCCAATCAATGGCTCCTGAACATCTGATGAAATGACCACAGCCACTGATCAGCCTTTCCAGCGTCGTCGATTCAAGGGTCTCTGTCCCAAACCCTGAATGCCATCTCAATCAGTCAAACCGAGCTATCCGCTAATTATGTTTCAAACACCCTCCGTACCTTCCTCTACAGATACCGAATCGACGGTCTCGAAACTCACGGGTGTTCGCCATATGGTACGACAGGTACCCCCGTCCGCCAATTGGGATCTAGCAATCACTCGGTTGCATTGTCTTACTTCGGGCCTTCCATCAGCGTAAAGCGAGCAGGCAAAGAACAAAGCACTGGATTCCCCACCGGGCTCAAGAAGAACAATAGATGACAAGGCTTTGGCCCTCACGCTGAGATCAGCATCAGAGCTCAAAGCGCCGGCCCAGGATTATATATAAGAGAGACGGAGGAGACGTGCGTGGCTTTTTCCTAATACCTATCTGTTGCCCGACCGAACAATGCAGACACCAGCGGATGCGTGCACGATACCCATATCCGTGCGCCCTGGCGCGCAGCGCACACTCACCGCCGTCGGGCGGGGCATCAAGGCTATCTTGCAAACGGCCGTGTCAGGCCGGCTTATCATCCGCCCGAAACGCCCCGAAGAAAGGCTTGCGATCGAGAAACGAACTGCGGGGAACCAGAAGGAGGTGGAGGGGAGGGACACCGAGGAGACAGTGGTGACGGAGGAGGATCACGGGGAGGGAGAGAAGAGTGACGAGATACCCGATGACACGGAAGTCTACATGAAGAGCGAAATCGCTGGCTGGTACACCCCGCCCCCGACTCCCGGGGCTCGCTGGCCTGCTTCCGCCGTGACTGCGCCGAGCGTGTGGCCAAACTTCGCGACGACGGAGCCTGTGGACGAGATCCACCAAACGCTTGTTGAGCTCGGGATCAAAGTGCGGGACTTTGCGTATCCCAGCCATTGTGTGGCGCGCACCGACCCTCTTGCACCAGAGCCAATGAAACTTTGTACGTTCACAATCACGTTTTATACTGCGAGATACTGACCGCCGGCGCAGTGTCTGGTGAAACGTCGCCGCTAGTCCCCACACCGGACATTCCTCGCCAGGGTACACCCTGGGAGCCACCACACCCGAGCCTTCGCCCGCTGCCCGAATCGTCTGCTCTCAAAATCCGCGATGCCCTCTGCAAGAAATATGACGTGCCGATGCTCAAGCCGGCTCGTGTGCCGATGTACGAGACTCACCGGATCCCCGCCCCGTTCAGTCCCGTGCAGATCGTGATGTACATCGAGGGCCGGCTGTCCCAGACTCCGCGGACGATTCCAATTCTAGGGATGTACACGCGCAGACTCCTCTCGATTTCACCGTTTCTGGTCGATCTGTCGCGCTACCACGAGATGGATCTGGAAGAGCTCCGTCGGTACGATGCGCGCATCCTGCGGCGGGCCGTGGAAGCCGGGATCGAGCCGTATCCCTGGAAGGTCGTGGGCGTGCCGCACGGGTGGGCGCCTTCGCCGGAGTGGCAAGATCTTCTAGCACTGGTCGGGAGGACGGACATCGAGGAGTGGTATGACCCCCAGACGCAGGGCACGCTGCTGACTACCTTCATCCAAGAACGGCGAAAGGACGATCTCTGGGAAAACGAGGAGTTGGACAGTCTTGCCGCGGAGAACGCTGGGCACGGCCTGTCTCCGGGAAAGTACTTGACTAGTCCAACGTCATCGAGCCAGAAAGCCTCGCTCGACCCGGATACGGTGAAACGCTTCGTCGAGCATCCAGACACAACGGAGGCCAGCGAGTACTTCCGGGACGTCCGGGCGGAGCTGGACCTGGTCAACGAAGACATGCTGACAGGGAGGCAGAAGATTCTGACATGGTTCAAACGCCGGGACAGCTACGTTCCAGAGGGCCCCGAATTCGACTACCTCTCGGATCTCGTGCTCCTGCTGGGTCACGTCGACCGTGCGGCTCGCCTGCCCGCGGAGGTTCCCGACGGACCTGACGTTCGCGCTCTGACTCGCCAGTTCTATCCCGGCATGCGGACTCCCTTCATCCCCGGTCTGACTGACCCCTACGGTGATGTAGTCGCCTATTGGGGCCCGGATGCCGTCTGGGATCTGTACCGGATGTTCGCTGCTCCTCCGCCAACAGAGCCGGGAAAGACACTGAACCACTACCTGGAAACGTACTCGACGATCACCACCTCTGCGACGCCGATCGTCACGGCCGTCACGGACGACTCCTTCTTGATGAATAGCATATCGAGCAACGTCTACGACGTGGCGACCTATGAAGAATCTGCACAGGATATCAAGACTGCGCGGAGGTTGTGTGCCTTGAAAGAAGAGAGAGCGCAGCAGCAAGCTTTGGAAGAAGCCAAACGCGTCCATGCGGGGCGTCAGAGCCAGTCGCCACCGCTCAAGCGCAAGGCTGAGGTCGACGAGCTTCCGGAGGGGGAAACTGAATCAAAGAAAGCGCGTACTGAAGTGTAGATAGTCTACTCAAATTGACGTTGCTCTTGCAATAACAGACGGAAGATTGTACCAGCCCCTTCTAATTGATGAAAGATGTCGTCTGTCAGAAAAACAGACACGTGACGAATTACCGTCCTATTATACCATCGACGGTCGCTTCCTCTACTGCGAAACCATCAACGAAGGAGGCAGGGAATGGACTGCCTTTTCGCCAATGAACCTATGTGCAAATTTCCATGCAGAACCGCATTGCGCCCTCCATGAATAGCCTGACTGACAAGCCACTATCGGTGGGGTCGATCTAACTATTTTCGGCGCCAACTGTGCTCTTGCGACTCAAGACACTGAACAACCCATCGATATCCCCCTCCCGCAAAGCCATGATAGGCCCGAAATTTGTGCAAGCCAGGAACCGGGTTCTGCCCCCAGTCCTCTCAAGAGACGCAACTGCAATCCTTTGCAAGCTGATTAGCATCTCCACTGAATCCGGGTGTCTTCCATGAAGCCGTTCCTGTGTGACAGGTGCTGGGCGCTGACAGGCCATTGCCCATGTATATGGCCAAGGTGCATTTCCAGTCGCTCTTTCGCCCCCATGCATCGCTTCCTCCAGCTCACTCTCATCCTAGGCTGGCCAGCCGCGGTCCAATCGACGCTCTTCGGGGCCCTGACACCAGACACCTGCGATCCCAGTCTACACAACTGCAGGAGCGCCTTCTCCATCGTCTGGGGATGCCTCACCACGCTCTTCGCCTGCACGTGGGTCTCCGTTCACCCGAACGTCCCGTCGCCGCATAAAGGCTCGTTTGGGAAAGTCTGGGGGAGACTGAAGCTCATGCTTGTGGCCCTGATCGCGCCGGAGCTGATCGTCGGATTCGCGGCGAGGCAGATGCTTGCGGCGCGGTTCTTCTCGCGAGGTGTGTCGTGTGTGCGTCCTGTTGAAGAGTCCATTTCCGACCATCTACACCAGCACTGGGTGTATCCAAGACCCACGGCTTCTTCATTACGATGGGGGGCTTTGTGTCCGGGATCGGACATCATCCACTCGTCACGCTCGGGCAGCTCAATCCTGTGGTGGTAGACATCAAGCACGTGCGGAAAGAGGAGATCCAGGACAAGAGCAAGGGCGATGCCCTCGCGAAGATGGTTGCGATCGGCCAGTTGATCTGGTTCACCACGCAGTGCACGTTCCGGGTGCTGCAGCATCTGCCCCTCACTGAGCTCGAGGTCGCGACGTTCGCGTTTGCGTCTGTCGACATCTTCATCTGGATGCTGTGGTGGGGCAAGCCGCTCGGTGTGGAGGAGCCCATCCCCATCGGCCCTGTCAGTGATCTGCGCGAAGAGGAGTCGACGATCCCCTGGCTCACCAAGTTCATCGGGGTGCTGCTGGGCTCATACGGCAAGAACTACAACCCGCAGACGTCGAGCTCGGTCCCGTCCTACTGGTCGATGGACTACGACGACTCACCGCACGGGGACAGCACCAGCTTCTTCGTGGAATGCATCACCGCGCTGCTGTTCGGTGCACTGCACTGCATCGCGTGGAACGCCGCGTTTCCGACCGTCTGGGAGATGCGGCTTTGGCGCTTGTCCTCGCTGTTCGTTACGTTCGCGCCGGTCGTGCTGTTGCTGTTCGGGTTCGCGGTGATGCTGTCCCTCAAGCACGAAAAATACACGCCGGTTGCGTTCCGGCTCGTGCTGGTTTTCCTCATCCTCGTTCCGTTCTATGTCGTGGCGCGCCTGCTGCTGCTGGGACTTCCATTCGCGGCTCTGCGCAATCTTCCGTCGGGCGCGTTCATCGATGTGAACTGGAAAAAATACATGCCCAGCTTCGTCGCCAAGTATAATTAGAACCTATACGAACGTTTCGTCCGCTTTCTTGCTTATATTCTAGAGGTATTGGGTAATAGTGGAGGACAATTGCAATCATGTACTCGCATAGTGTAACGACAAGTCAACTTTGTGGCCACTCAATGTCGTCGCTGACAAAAACTAACAACCTCTCGATGTCTGGATCAATCTTCTCCTGCCGGAGCCGCTGCTCAAACTCTACCCTCATCCACTCCGAATGCCAGACACCACGGATCTCCAGCCGCCGAAGCCGTCGGATGAAACGGGATTCTCTGATCGTCTGCATCAGATTCGCCACGGTCGTCGTCCCACTGACGCGCGACTCTAAGGAAGGATAATCGAAGATTATCTTCACACCAAGGCACAGGATCTCCAGCGGCGCCTCGTCCATGCTCTCTAGCATAGATATCACTCGGGGACCGGTCCTGATCCCGGAGATCTGACCGTCAGCAAGCGTTTCTCCCGTCGCATAGCCAACGAAAATTGTTGCGCCGATGTGTAAAGATCGGAGCGCGGAGGAGGGGAAGGTCGTAATGGCCGCAGGAAGATCTGAAAATGGAACGCATGAGGAAGTGGATAGAATTCTAGGCGCGTCGGCTCACTTGACACCAAGGACAGAAACTGCAAATGGCCATCGAGTTTGGATAGATACTGCATGAGATGAACATATCCCCCTGATTTATTATAGTCGGCCGTCCGAACGGTCACTGCCCGAGTATTCACCGTCGTGCCCGGTGCTGCCAGCCACCGCGCCCAGTGGATGTTCGGCAGAAAGTCTAGGACCAGCTCATCCAGCTCAAGACGGAACGGCGGAACGATATCCTCTTCCCCGTTGTGCTTCAGCAGCTCGATAAGGAGGATCGATTTGAGATGCAGCGTCGCCAGCGCCGGGAACAGCTTCAATAGCTCTAGATACGAGCGGATGGTCATGAACTCTAGCGCGTTCAGGTCGAGAATCGTGGCCATCTCGAATGGCGCGAGGTCCCAGGACCACCCATCCGTCGGGCCTTGGCACGCTCTGAGCCCGACGTGTCGCACATTCGGAAACCGCGCTGCCCGCACGAGGGTTTCGATCTCCGGGGCGTTGCACGACGACAGGTGCAGAGACCGCACCGCCCCAGTCAGAGTTTGATGCGGGCTGCCGACGAGGGCGATGTATCCGGGAAAGTCGTCTCCTTTGAGCGCGAGAGTGCCGAGAGTGGGATGTGAGCCACGGCTGGCGGGAACCCAGGTGCGGCAGACGAGGCTGCAGGTGAGCAGATCGGACGGACTGTCCAGCAGTTGGATGATTTGATCTGTCAGCTCAGGTGGTAGGAGCATGGTCTTCCGAGTCGTCGTGGTGGTGGTCACTGTTGAAGGCACGTAAAGGACGCTCGCTGCCAAGGCACATGAGTCAGATCACGGGGCTGATGATCGATGAAGCCCGCACCCGCACGTGGTCGCGTTGCGTGGGATAACTCGAAGATCATCTGTCTGTCTCGAACATCGAGTCTCGGAGTCGATTAGGATACCTGCGTTCACCGTAGAGATCTGGATCTCATTTGATGTGCAAAACCAGCGTTGAGGGTTGGATAGTGCTAGAATGCTAGCCGGGAAGACGTTTCCGCTATGTAAGGACTCTATCCTGTCATATGTATGTATCACTGAGCACCCGCAATCGTAAATTGCCCGCCGTTTAGAAGGACGATGATGAGTATGTCTACAGCTCAGCGACAATCGAGATCTGAGAGCTGTGGAGACATATCTCGAGAGATTCTGACTCGTCGACGTAATATATCATGGCATCGCATTTCTCCAATGTCGGCTGTGCGCTTTGACTGAATAGAGATAGCACCTGAATTTCATGCCATTACTGCGTCACCCCTGCTTCGACAACTGCTGCTACTAGAGACAAACAGCGGGAGGATCGCTGGGTCAAACAATCTGCGCCATCGCAGTCAGCATCGTCAGTGGAATGGACTGAATCTCAGGCACCCAAGTGGACTCGTGAACTGAGGCGGAGATAATCAGTCATTCATGTCTAAGGGGGTTTCGCAGATAGTGGAACGGATACATTGGTAGAGTTGCAGATACGTAGGAGGAGAGAGGCTACAGGTCACAGGTAGAAACACAGTGCGGAGGAATTCATAATGCTACAGAGATGGGGAGTGGGAGAAGGATGCCAGCAAATGCAGGGTATAGCTCAAGCACGTTTTCGATAGTATCTACTGACCAGCCGCAGCGACGCTCAACGAGCCCAGCACGACCTCCCACGCGAGATCCAGCGCAGCCCAGACACCCGCGTCGTTGACGCCTAGCGCGACGAGGTTCTGCCACAGCTCCTTGACGTGCGACGCATGCATCATCAGCGTGCCGACGTTGCCGCCCGCGACGGAGCACACGTGCACCGCCAGCGCGTGGACGGTCGACGGCGAGGTGAAGGTCGCCGGGATCGCCTCGCCGTCGTCGTACGCCATCGGGAGGGACATCCCGCCCGCCGGCTTCGTTGCCGCGGCTAGCGAGCCGAGGAAGCTCGTAGGGAGCGGGATGAGCGCCGCGAGGACGGCGTCGAGGCGCCCGGTGTACATCCACGTGTGGATCAGCGCGAAGGCGCTGGGGGACGGAACCGCAAGCGGGAGGATGGGGACCGTGTGGCCGGCAGGGGAGGCAGGCGGGAGCCGGGGGAGCTTGGCGCAATGCGCGGCGAGGACGACGCCGTGGACGGGGTAGATCAGCGCGTCATCCGTGGCGCTCTTGGCCGTCGTGGACAGCGCAAGGATGTGCGTGGGGTAGGTGACGTCCTCGCGGCTGGGAGCGGAGAGCGAGATCGCGGACGGGAGCTGGGATCGCGGACACGTCTTGGGTATCGAGGCGGCAGCGATGGAGAGGCCGTTCGACATCTGCGGTGCCGTCACGCGCAGCCCTTGGCGGACGAAGGGGAGCGGAACCGACGCGAGTTCTGGGGCGACCGCAGCCAGTGCGGCTGGCGAGACTTCATCGAATTTAGGACGTGCGAGGGTCCGTGGGAGTTGAAGAGGTGCGGGAGAAGAGCGCGACGACTGCGAATACGAATCGCGACGACCCGGGGCGAGGAAGGCAGGGGAAGGGGGGTGAGACGCGACCTGGAACATGTCTAGTGTGTGGAGGATATAGATAGTGGCGGATCGTCCGGTATCTGGGTCGTCGTACGAAGGGCAGATACAGTTGAACTAGGCATCTTTATAACGAGACTCCATGCGCGGCTCCCCTTTGACTCGTTTTGGACGGGATAAAGGGAGAACCAAAACGGGAACATAGACAGCATCAGCGGACGAAGCTTCTTTTTACCCGACTTCCCAATCGGGATCTGCATCATGCCGCCATTGTGCCCAAATGGTGATTGCAGTTTGTGCAGAAGACGTCTCTGCAGACGATGTTCAAGCTCTTGTAAGCGAGCCCTTGTACGCGCGCGACAGTGCTGAAAGTCACAAGTAATGTGACGCATATCCCAGTCCGGTCTAGACGCCGATATGTCATGATTCATGAGCTGATAAGGATTCAGCAGTAATTCATTCTCAGCCCGTCTTCCACCGCTCTGACTACGGTCGACGACAAAGGACATGGTCTATTTCGACCGATGGATCGATCGGATGTGCTGGGGTCCTGGCACTCCGTGACTCGAGGACGTGAATATGCTTACTCGAAGCCTCCGATGACCGTTCCCGACGTCATAAGCGTGCTCGTCGTTGATGGCGGCGCGCTCGAGCCTGCCAATTCGCGCCATTTTCAGGGAATCTCCTGCCTTTGTGGCTTGTTTTTGAAATGCGCACTCAGTATGTAGCTCCTAGACTACAAAGAGGCTTTTAAAACCTAAGGTGATAGGGCTCATTGAAAGTGCTGCAGGAGCACTGCCACGGTACCCCTGCGGCACTCCGAATACTCCACATGATTGATCTCGACGACATCAACGACGATCAACACGTCGGCTGAGACGTTGATGGACCTGGGAATGATCCGCGCAGGCAGCGGGACTATTCCAGACGCCATTGTCGTCGGCGGCAGCAATGGAGATCTCATTCCTGCGGCACTCCAGAACAGTGTGCCGCAGACTCCACGGCACACTGCGGCACTCAGGCGGGACCTCTTGCGGCACTGCAAACAAGTCTGCGGCACTCCAGTGTGACACATGTGGCATCTCTGCGGCACTTCAAAGCACAGCCACCCTCTGTAGACCGCTGCCGGCACATTCAACGCTATCTGTGCTAGTCGATCCCCGATATTTTGACATGGATTAGTCAAATTTCAATGGAATTGAATATTTAGACGTCCTGAAAGCCTGTATTTGGATCATAGGTCTTTATGATGCCTGGGAGGAGATTGCACGAGCTCGTAGTGTGACTACTGGATCACGTGAGGATACATCGTGTTATGCACCTGATGACATGACTATGACACCGTCACAGTGTAGCACTGAGACCCCAACTCTGCATCACAATCTGCGTTGCCTAGAACAGACCATGTCCTTTCTTGTGAACCCTACTCTGAGCTCGAGGAACAGATCACAGCACTTTTTTTTTTTTGCTAACACGTGGTTGCTGTGCCGCCGGCATCCAAACGCCGACGCTTCCGACATCGACTGTGATCGGGGCAAACTGTTCCGATTTCATCCCCTCTTCCACTTCTTCCTCTTTCGATTTACTCTTTTATTTTGATATTTTCCACGCACCTCCACCAGTATCGAGCCAATTTTATCAGTTAGAACGCGTCCGTGCGCATCCCGAATCAGGGAACGCGTCGTGTCTACTGGAACACGTGACGGCACGGTCATGTTATGCAGACGTGATGACATGACTATGACACCGTAACAATGTGACACTGAGACCCCGACTCTGCATCACGATCATCCTTTCCTAAAACAGACCATGTCCTTTGTCGTCGACCTTACTCTGACTCGCCTTGACTCTCGGGAAGCTGACCGGCATCGCATATCTGTCGCTCTTCGAAGCAACGTTGTTGGTGTCGTGAAGCTCTGCAACACAGCTGGCCCAATACGGCACTCTCGAGTGACACTTGCACTGCGCTCCTCGTGCTCCGTCGACTCATTTGCACATCCCGCTGTCGTTATTGTTCTCGACGCAACGCCCAAAATGTGTGCTGCACTCGGCTAGACGCGAGAGCGACTCACTAGCAGACCCTCGAAATATGGGGGCCCATAAACCGGAGCATGGTCTTGTTTGACCGGTCTTGCTGATTTACGACAACGTGATGTTAGCCCTAATTCCGATAGCCGCTTCGTCTGCTAGGTCTGACTCGGCTCTTTCTCAGGCTCCTTTGAATTTTCCGTGTCGTGAAGTGAAATACGGGATTAATATTCGCCTCGCCGAATACCTCTGCGATTCTTGTTTGTCCCAGGGGGAGATTCAGACTGGGTGTCCAATGTTAGGTGATCCAGATGATCGATCGGAATAGCTCCGCGGAAACTGGGTCCAGTATGACAGCTGGAATCTGTGCCGACCCATTCCGCAGAGCAATGGACTGCCTTACAACATCCCAATATGGTTGCCAATCTGCCACTGGAGCTCAATCTTTGTTCCGGTCTGTGGGAGGCGGATTCTGAAAATCTAGCGTGGTGAGCACAAAGACCGATTAACTTCGAACAATGGCAGATTGGTTCATCTTCATTTCACCGGATCCGGCCGCTAAGGCTGAGGTGACATCCCTTTCGCCTCACTTCGCTTCTCGCCACACAACGCACATCGAGTCACCGTGTGTGGGCTCAAGTTATGGACTCTGGGCCCTGGACCTACACCTCATCTGTTGGTTCGGTGTAGTCCACCTGGATATGGATGGATAGATGAGATGCCGCATCGAGGCAGGGCCCCTCTTGGGCCGAAAAACCTAGCGGCGTCCGATCAAGTAATCCCACGGCTCGGTTGTGCCGCTTCGAGGCGCCTTCCGTTCGGGAAACAATGCAACCGACAAGATTGCCGATGTGAAGGACGGAAATGGGAAACACGCGGCATGCGTGCGGCATCAAGACTGGACCCACAGGAACATAACTCTGAGCCTTGCGCTGTAGAGAACAATGGCTCCGGGAACGTTTTGACTGGCGACAGCTGAGAAATACAATGTTCTATTGTATCATTCTTTCCCTTCCGTCTTCAATGTATTGCTTGATTCGCGAGGCTGGAAATCCAAGTTCTGCAGAAGATCAGAAGAAAAGATGACGATTTCTTGCCGGCTATAGAATGTGCTGATAGCTAGCTTCTCAGCAGGTGACGGGCAGTTGACGATTGACTACCCGAGCACATGTTAGTCTCCCAACCTCCAATCTGATGTAGCAGTCCGGCACGAATAGCCACGGATCAAATTGCTTCTGGATTTTTTATTTTATCTCTCAATAGAGTGATTATCGTTGAAGAATTGTTAAAACTGAAACATTCTGAATAAGCAAGGTGCTGTCATCCTGCAAATCACATATATGGCTCATGCATGTTATGGAAACAAGTGATACTGCTGAGCTCAGGCGCGAACCTGAGGCAAGGTGGCCGAGTGGTCTAAGGCGCTAGTTTCAGGTCTAACATTCTTGGAATGTACCAGTACTAGTCAGAAATGGCGCGAGTTCGAATCTCGCCCTTGTCATTTTGCCAGCTCGCCGAGCCCTTCGTCCCTTAATGTCTACGCTACGACACGCTTATTTCGAATCACACAACGTTCGCCCTTGAAATAAACCAAGCAAGGATTACTTTTTTCTCGACACTGTAACTTTTCCTGCTGCCCGGCCCGCCTTCCTTTTACCTCTCCGAACCACGCTTCTGTCCCCATCGTTCGTATCGCTCTCCGAGTCTTCGGACTCTTCGACATCGCTCGAAGGGCCCTCAGATCGGCCCTTTCCTTTTCTCGACGTAGCCGGTGGAGGCGGCGGGCCGGCCCGCCAGTCAGGGCATTTCCGGCGGACAGCCGTGCTCCCATACTCGAGATACTCCTCCCGTGTGATAGCTATTTCGGACTCAAAGCGGGGTTGAGACGCGAAGGCGCAGGCGGCTTCGTATGCTGCCAAGCTTGGTCTGAAGCTCGGGTGAGTGAGTTCACATAAACCGGTGGGGTGTCTGACTTATCGGCGTGATAGATGGCGACGTCGGTTCCCATCGGTGCCAGAGACTCGAGCTCTGATATCCTATTTTCGCTTAGCAGGATCCATGGTCCGCCGCTTGAAAACACGCACAAGCGGGTGCGGAATCCCGGAAATTCCGTGTTCCCACCGATCAGTCCGATGTTGGCCCAAAAGAGCCCTTGGAGATCCTCCGGCAGCAGTGCGATGGACGAAGCGATCGTGCCAGCAATTCCGACTTGCTTCAGTCCTGAAAAGACATCTCGAATCGCCCTCAATGCCTCCAGATGGAAGGCACACACCGACATCGTCGGGACGAAACATGATTTCGGGCACTGAGAACCGCTCGTTGCCCATCGTCAATACTTGGTCTGTTTCCAGCAGAACTTCATTCGGCTGACGAATGCGGCCTGCGTTTTGTTTTGTGAGATCAGGCAGCACGTACTCCTGCACGATTGAGTTTTTGGGGTCGTTTCTTGTCGATAGCGAATCAAGACTCGTCGCCCGCGATAACGGAGTGGAACACACCGGCAGACCTCTAGATTCTGACCGAAGTCTTGCGCCACATAGCAGCAAGTTTCCTTGACGTGGTTCATCATGTACGTCTCCTCCATCATATTCCACTGGCGAAACGAGATTAGCTCTTTGAGGTGGTTCGTAAGCAGTTTGCCGCCGAGGTCGAGTCTGGAATCGGGACGAATGAGCATGAAAATCAGTTAAATTTCAGCATACTGGCCGTTTCACGGCCTCCCACACGACTTGGCCCTGCATTATCGGCACGACGTGGGTGAAGCTGAACCCAGAGTCGACGATGAGCGAGCATTCAGGCGGTGTTTCGCCGAGCAGTGTTCCATGTGGAATGAAAGAAGCAGCTGATATAGGTTTAACAGCCGATCATTTTGAACATGAGAGCTCACGAGTCGCGCGAAAGAGTCCCTGAAACTCGTACTCCTCGAACACGAACTGATCGTACACTTCTTGAAGCTTGGGCAGATTAAAGTACGACTCGGTGATGACTAGTGTCGACTCCGTGGGGTTGACCTGCCCCGCGCAAAGCTCCGTCGCGAATCACGCTCTCAAGAAACGTACAAACACCCACATTCAGCACTTCGTCCGAGAACAGTCCATCCCACACAGCCTTCTGCGCGTCCCAATCAACGACGAACCCTTTCTCGAGCGGAAGCCGATATGAGAGCGAGGAGAAGTCCCGGCAGCGCTGGTGGAACTCGTGCCCGATGTAGGTCGCTTTGTCGCCTGGCGCGCGTATCACCGCGTTGGGTACGATCCTGATTCTCGTGAGCAAGGTGAGTGTGGAGCGGGGGAATGAGGGGACCTCGGTTCTGGCTTTCTATTGAACAGGATCCCAGCCTTGATGCTCGACCCGCCGTTATCCAAGACGACGACGACCATTCAGCGCGGAGCGGTGTGTTGACAGGAAATCTGAGTTGACACCTGTCAACTGACGCGACACACCCATCATGATGGGTTGTCCTTTGTTTGCTGCGTGTTCCTCCGAGAGCGACAATACACGGTTCTCAACGAAGCATCATCTGTGAAATACCTAGAATATATGCAAGTGAAGAAAATCAGGACAAGAATCGTTTTTATGAAGTCACCGAACCTTTGCCTGTCTCTCAGAAATAAACTGAGAAGGATGATCGATGTGGCGTTGAACTATCCCTTGTGAATTAACCCCAAAACATTGGAGAGGCGTGCGTTATTGGTGTAGAGGTAACATGGTCCTTTCCCAAGGGGCAGCCTCGGGTTCGATTCCCGGATGACGCAGAATTTTTTTTTCATTACCTCCTCCCTTTCTGCGGCTCCTATCCGCATGACATGCGGAAGCCTGCCGAACTGTGCCATTCTTTTGGGCGACTGACCACTCAGCTTCAAAGTTGCCCTCAACAGTGGGTCCTTCCACCGTAATCAATCTTCCATTTGCTTGGGACACAAGTTTCACAAGTGAGAGAGCTATTCGACACCTGTACTCAAGACACTCAAGGTATGCATTTGGAATGCTATCCTTCACTTTCATCCCAATACCACATTACAAGTGTGCATCACGCCGCCGGATGTATCCGAGGGAGACGAATGCGCGGCGATCAGTGATCCCAGGGGTTTGGACGACTCCACTCCCACGTCCGGTCTGCCTGCGAGAGCGGTTCATCGTCACCTTCTCTTCGATTCTCTCTATCGGCCATTTCGGCAGAATTATGATACACCGAGGTGGTTGCGGAAATGACAAACCGTCGAACCATCGCCAAACTTCATGAACGTGACGGCGTTCACGGAACTCAGCCCCTGGGTTCGATCCACGCGTGCACCACGCAGATGGCTCTGGTTAATTTGACTCGGTCTTTTCTCGGCGGGTTGCAACCGAGGAGCTGTACGTGTCTGAACGCCATCGTAAGCTTTCAGCTTTTACGCACTACCTTTGCACCACTTACTGTTTATCGCCGGCCTGAAATCCACCAATCGCCAGTGCAGATCACACTTCGTTGACTGCAGTTCGCTATTTAGTGACCAAGTCACACATGTCATCGGCCGGCTACCTAACCGCAATGCGAAACGGCTGGTTCAGATGATGACATCGACTCTTGTCGTCAAAAGTGTTGTTGGCGGTGCAGCTTTGAGCTCTGCGCTTACTGCGGATCGGATTGCTACCACAGTCGCGCCTTACGTCTCTTCTTAAGATGATGTTTCGGCGCACGACGACGCGAACACTCTGCTCGGACGCGCACCGAGCACCCGTTTACCCGCAAAGCGGCCACGATTAGTCACAGGGATTTCTCTTGTGTCCCACGGCATTTGGCACTCACGCTTGTTGGTAGGCGCTTGTTGACCGTCCTGTCGGTTCGGTCCCGGCGTCTTAGTTGCTTTGGCTTACGCCGTCAATCGACTCTATTTCGTCAGTCCAGCCCACTCCTGGCTTACGTCTCTGCAGACAACTCTCTAAGCACAATCTGTCTGTGCAATGTGTGCCTTGTTATGGTGGCATTCTTGCGCTGAGTGATCTTGCTCGTGCATGCCCTGTTTGTTTTGGGTAAGGAAATCACGACCGTTTAGCCGCGGATTCTCTCATGTAACCTTCCTTCTTTCCTTAAATACGGCAATCGTTCACCATGACCTCATCCCCCGCGATCCGTCCTTCCCACCCCCATGTCTGCTACACCCTCTGTAGACCACACGATAACGGACGAGCACCCGCCCGTCGAAGACCCACATGCGGCGGTCCTAACTGGGAAGAAGCTTGTCATCGTGTTCGTTGCCATGTACGTCCAGCGCCTCTCTCATCTGCCGGTCGCCGTTGTCTGATTCAAATCGCCGCCCAGGCTGCTGTCACTGCTGCTCATCGCACTCGACCAGACGATCCTCGCCACCGCGCTGCCACGAATCGCGTCCGATTTCAACTCTTTCACGCTCCAGGGATGGGTCTCGTCGTCCTTTATCCTAGCACAGACGGTCCTTCTACTTTTCTACGGGCAGCTCCTCCGCATCTGGCCCGCAAAATGGATCCTCTTCTCGGCGGTGGTCATCTTTGAGCTGGGTTCGCTTGTGTGCGGAGTGGCGCAGAACGTCGGGATGCTTATTGCTGGCCGGACGGTATCTGGAGTGGGTGCCGCGGGTATTTGTGCGTCCAAATTGTATACTCGGCACGTTTTGCGTAAAATCTAACGCGCACATCGTGTCCAACAGTCGTGGGACTCAACCAAGTAATCGTCCAGTCGACGCGTCTGGAGGACCGACCGCGTCTCTTGGGTCTTTTCGGTGCCGTCTTTGGGCTGTCCAGTGTCATTGGCCCGCTCATCGGAGGTGCCTTCACGGACCACGTTTCCTGGCGCTGGTGTTTCTTCATCAATCTACCGCTGTAAGTGGCATTTGATGTCCTCCCGTCATCTACTTATTCGTTCTTCAGCGGTGGCGTGTCACTTTTGGGCATCACGTTCCTACTCAAGTCGTCGCCGCCGCTGGGCTCGGACCCTTCCACGCGGACATGGTCCAATCTCCTCCGCCAGACTATGCAGATGGATTATTTTGGCGCGATACTGGTCTCAGGAGCTGTCACGTCTCTGGTTTTGGCTCTCCAGTGGGGTGGAAACACTAAGCCCTGGGGTGACAAGGATGTCATCATCGTGAGTGGCTTTCACCCGCAGTCGCTTCTGATGCTTACCGTTTCGTTCAGTGTTTCGTCTTCGCCGCCGTACTGGCAGTCGCCTTCATTCTATGGGAGATCCGCGCTGGTGACCGTGCCATGACACCGACAACCATCTTCAAATCTCGTTCGGTGTAAGTTGTACTTCGTAAAATTCTCCCGCCGTCCGTGACACAGCTGACACTTTGGCAGCTATGCGATCGTCGCGTACTGCTTCTTGTCACGATTCACGCTCCTTCTGTTCTCGTACTACATCCCCATCTTCTACCAAGCTGTGCGCCACCGGTCTGCGACTCAGTCCGGGATCAACTTGCTGCCCTTCATGATGGGCGTCGTGCTCACGTCAATCGTCTCCGGTCAGCTCGTGTCACGATTCGGCTATTAGTACGTGCATATTGGTCATCCCATACTCAGTGGCTGACCAGTCCTCCAGCTGGCCGTTCCTGGTCGTATCCCCCGTCTTCCTTGCACTTGGCTCTGGGCTGCTCTACACCCTGAAGACGAGCACATCGTCCGCCACGATCATCGGCTTCCAGATTCTGGCTGGCGTGGGCACCGGAATGGGCATGCAGAACTCGCTGCTGTCCATGCAAGTCGAATTCAAACACGCGCCCCGGATGATTGGTCAAGCTGTGTCGATGGGGGCATTCGGGCAGTTCCTTGGAGGCACGCTCGGCCTCGGCGTCGCGGAGCCGGTCTTTGCATCGGAGCTGAGCAAGTACCTGATCCAGTATGCGCCGACCGCGCCGGCATCCATCGTCGAGCAGAGCCCGACCGCCATCTACACCGAGCTCGACCCGTCGCTGATCCCGGGTGTCGTTCAAGCCTACCTGCAGTCGCTGCGCATCGTGTTCGTGCTCGGTGTCCCAGTGGCGGGGCTCGCATTGGTCGCCGCGCTGTTCATCAAGAACATCCACATTGCTGCGCCGCCGCCAGCGCCCAGCGTCAACGAGAAGGAGGAGATGACTGAGGTATGAGCGCCTTGGTTGTCGGAGCACAGCACATGTAGATTATCATAGCAACATGTTTTTATTCACGAATCACCGGATCTTTTTAGAATAATCACTTAATCTGATGATGACCTGGAGATCTTGTCACCTGCAACTATCGAGGAAGCACGTTCGTAGCAGTTTTGTTTTCCCCCGACGAGCTGATCGATGTTTGGAAGAGCTGGAACCACTTGGGATCTGCAGTGCACATGTTTTTGTCATCCATTGCTGTCTTACGCTTCGACCTGAATATCGTGATCTTCGAGGCCCTTTCATCAAGGACAGAGAACTCAGGGGCGCAAATGATGTACAAAAGTTCTGTGCTCTGCTCTGCAAATTCATGTCATGTACAATTCAGCTACTAAAACTTTAGTGTCCGTTAGCGACACCCCGGATCATCCATCAAACACTCTCGGAAGCCTACGGAAACTTTTTACACTCGGCTGTTGAAATCAATTATATGTCAAACATGCCGACATCGCAACCAGCTTCAGCTCACTTTCGGTCTAACAAAAGTAGTTTGTAAGCTGTTAGAAAACTAGAAAAAATACGAATGGGTCTAACCTGAGGCTTGACTCTTCTCTCTGTTTCAAAGTCTGTAGCTAGAGCTGACGATCAAGTACTTGGGTTTCTTGCCGAGCGATCGTCAATTGATGCGTTGATCGCAAAGTTTGAGGCCAATTCAAGTTCAGAGTTGACTTCGCGAGTTGAGCGAACCTGTGGAGGTTCTACCGCATCCGATAGTTATACTCCAACTTTCTTTCTCACCTAAGGGCTATTTAATTCTCTGATTGCGGAGAAATATATGCCGGGGAGAGCCAAATGGACCAAGCACGGAGCAAGTCGAGTGAATGATCTGTGATCAGAAAACATAGATCATCCTAACGCCACAAACTTGCTCAAAAATATCCCACTCTTCCGGCATTGATTGGGGAAGGAATGCCTGAGTCCGCCAGATTTCAACTTGACTCTTGGAGAACCTGGACTCACAAAGCGTTGCTGAACTCAATCTTGTTGAGGCCAAGATCGAGAATGCGACCTTGTTCAACCCTAGTCCGTAGGATCCTTACACTAGGTTTCCGTTAACTCTCTGCTCCGAGATCGTATTATGGTAGTAGTTACTGTGGTGCTAATGGCCCCGGCCATCATCGATCTGGTAGATATAACTCATATCGACTACTTAGCGAAAGGGTTCAGGCTCAGTCTTAACAGCTCATCGATCCCAGGCCTCCCCAAGTCTACGTTCATATAACATCAAATTTTACTCGCCTGTCACAGACAGTGTGCGGCAGGCCACGGGTGACATTTGGCAAATCGGGTCAATATCTCGAGGTTACCCAGTCCAAAACGCATCTGCCAGTCGAAGTTATAGTTCAGCCACTCGAGGCGAACTGACTTGGGACTTGCTCATTCGGAACCTTTGGTATGGATCAATCAACGATACACCACCGAGTCTCCATAAGGAGCTGAACGCTCAGACCCTGAGCGATCTTCCCGAAATAGCAACACTTGCGTAGTCAGCCTCTGACAAAGATGTGCGAAGATTGCTCTGTTTCGGTTCTCCCTTCCTCTCCATCCGCAGCGGAACTCAATCATGACTCAGACATCAGCATTATGACGACATGGAAGTGATATTCCATAGGACTAGACCTGAGGAGTAGAAGCTGCTGCGCAGCGATCTTACAAACGTACCCTCGAATAATGAAAGGTATGATCGATCCCATGGACGTCAAGGATGAGACCATTCATTCGTGTGCAGTAGTCTGCAGTGCCGAGCGGCACGTACCAAACTTTCAAAGCCGGAGGCTCCACGACCGTGATGCACACATGAGCTCCGGATTGATATCACACTGATCCATAGCTTAATGACGCCGCTGACTGATCAGATAGCGTTCTTCCAGTCCCGACTAGCAAGGTGATGGAGGCACTCACACTGATAGATCGGCGTGCCGAACTTCTTGATGGGAGAAATGTCTGAGATTGCTCAGCGCCAATTGTCTCATCCGTATTGGAGGTCCTTATTCAGCACGGAGTTCCCGGCACGGAACCAAATTCAACGCGAGCCTGGGGTATAAGACAGCAGCAGGCAGCCCACATCGATACAATACAACCACCTCAAACACACCCTGCAGAAAATGTCCTACCCTACTTTTGACTTCAACACCACTGCCGAGGACGTCGCGACGGCTTTCGCGGATGAGATCAAGGGCAAGAACGGTTGGTAGAGTCATGCCTCGAACGAATTCGCTGAGTGCTGATCATGATACCAATGCAGTTCTTATCACTGGGACCTCCATCAACGGGATCGGATTTGAGACTGCGCGAGTGATCGCAAAATATGCAAACTTGGTTGTGATCACTGGGTACAATGGGGAGCGGTGCGTTTCATGACAGTCGTCGAGGTGTCGTGGTGCTGATCGAGATCGCTGGCCGCAGATTGAAGCTCACGGAGGCTGCAATCAGGAAGGAGGTCCCGCAAGCCAACATTCGTACTCTGATCCTGAACCTCTCGTCCTTCGCCGCCGTCCGCACCGCCGCAGCAGAAGTCAACGCCTACGACGAGCCGATCCACGTCCTGATCAACAATGCGGCAGCTCCGATTGGTCCGTTCAAACTGACCGTCGACGGATTCGAGAATCAAATCGCAACTGACCACCTCGGGCCGTTCCTCTTCACATCACTCATTGCCCCCAAGATCATCGCTAGCAAAACGGAGAAGTTCACACCGCGAGTGGTGTTTGTGTCGAGCATCGGGCACACCTGGGGCAAGGGTGTCAACTTCGAGACGCTCGTCAAGCCCGACCCCGAGAAGTACGAGATATTCGACGCGTACTTCCAGGCCAAGTCCGCAAATGCGCTGACAGCGGCTGAGCTCTCGCGGCGATCCGGTGGAAAAATCAACGGATACAGTCTGCATCCGGGATGTCAGTTCGCTTCCACATCGCAGGTCCGCGCTCTTGGCTGACGTTTTGCCCGCTAGCGATTGTGACGAACATCACCAACAAGGAGGAGTCACTCGAGCCTTTCAAGGCCCTGGGGATCCTCGGGTCGGACGGCCAACCGAACACGCAGGACTTCCAATGGAAGACGATCCCCGAGGGCGCGGCTACGAATGTCGCGGCTGCTTTTGACCCGCGCCTCGACGCAAGCCCCGGCGCATACCTGGACGACTCGAAGGTCGCAAATGACAAGCTCGCGGCGCACACCGCGGATCCGGTTAGTGCTCCGATGGCGTTTGTACTGCTGAAAGTAATTCACTAACGCGCACCTGCCAGGCCAATGCCGCCAAGTTGTGGGATTTGTCGGAGCAGATCGTGGGAACCAAGTTCACCTTTAATTAGATCAAAATAATGCGGTGCGGTCCACAGGATCAGCTCTAATTATTTAATTGTGCAAAACCGTTTTAAGAAATTATGCCCGACTGGAGCTACGACGATCTGTGCTGTAGATTGACGGCACTGAAAGTGATGGTAGATCGCGAGAGAAGCTTGACGAACGCAAAATGTTGACTCAGTGAGAGACGCGCCGCGAAATCGCTCAGACGAGGTCGCTAATGGCCAACAATTTGCCCCCTCTGTGTAAGACTTGGGTTTACTGTGTGATTGGAACTGGCTTGCTCAATGAAACACAACACGAATCCCGCGCTACTGGGAAAATTGTCCCGGAGCGCGAGATCAATGTGGGAGTTTTTCTTTTTTGCGAATTTGTCGGAACTAATGATGACCTTGTAGCTTTCACGTAGGCAACTCATGATAAATTTTAGATGAACTAGGCAGGCAACTAAGCTGAGCCAAACGTTCTAGATCCACAATGTGCTGCTCAACCTCTGATTAACCTGTTGTAAGCTTCCCTGTTGTCTAAAATTAGTACACTTTCCCAATCGCAATCGAGTTGAACATTCGGACTATGACTTTGATGACGGCATTGAGTCGACATTCCATATGACTTGGAGCCTATCGAAGAGTTTCGGGTACACTTAATGCAGATGCAAATCAAAGTCTAATCACACAGTCTTCTCCAAAGCTTCATTGCCGAGACGACACGCGTAGAACCGGGCAAAATCAGCCGCCAGCCTCTCTGGCCATAATGCATGCATGATCTTCAGATTTATATCACGACCACATATACTCCATGACTCCGTTTTGCTTATCAACTGGCAGGTTTTTGGTCCGGACCAGAGGGGTGGACGGGCGGCTACGCACCTGATGACCACAAAGACTGGACTTCTCAACGGAAGAACTGCCCAGGATTGCTCGGCCCGAGTTTCATCATGGGCCATTGAAGACCTGACTCAGCACGGAAACGCGGGTACAGAGCTAAGTGCGACAAACGCGAGGGCGGCGAAGTATAAAGTAGAGAGGGAGCAGCACACCTTGGTACACTATCGACCGCTCCAAAGACACCCACACAAATGTCCCACCCTACTTTCAACTTCCATACCACCGCTGAGGACGTTGCGACTGCTTTTGCGGATGCGATCAAGGGCAAGAATGGTTTGCAGAGGCGTACACTGGACGAATTTTCTCAGCACTGATTCCGATGTAGTTGTTATCACTGGAACTTCCATCAAGGGAATCGGATTCGAAACTGCCCGGGCGATCGCGAAATACGCCAACCTGGTTGTGATCACTGGATACAACGAGGAGCGGTGCGTACTGTCAAAACCGTTGAGGCAGACTTGATTCAATGCATGTCGCAGATTGAAACTTACTGAGGCGGCAATCAAGAAGGAAGTCCCGCACGCCAATATCCGTACCCTCATCCTCAATCTTTCCTCCTTCGCCGCCGTGCGCACCGCCCACCTCAGTTACCACCGCCATCACGCGGTTCTCCCCCCGCGGGGTACCTACTGGGTACCCTCAGACGTCTTGCTGAGGGTACCCAGTAGGTACCCCCTGGCGGGGGGTGGGGGGGCCATTTAGTCGATTTAGTAGCGGGGGCATATGCGGGGGTCAGGAGGAGGGGGGGTGTATGTAGCATGTGACTTGTCCATAAGAGCGGGTAGCTGGGCGGGAAAAAAAAATCCAATCACATGACGCGCTGCATGGGCGGGATGGCGGGATAAAAAAATCACGTGATGCGCTGCACCAAATATTACCAAAATGCTGGCAGGGGTTGGCGGCGTCATTGGCGGGGTCACTACCACCCCCCCGCACACCATGGCGGGCAGTGGGCGCATTATCACGTGACTTTTTGGGCACCTTTTTTGCAGCATTTGGCATGATTTTGGAAATGCTGCTTGATACATTGCATGCTGTGGCAGACAATGGGCGCAAAATCACGTGATTTTCCGCCAAAAAAATGGAAGACTCCCCAAATCATCCCAGTATAATTTCCATAGGTAAATAGGCTAGTTAAACATGAACTTGAGCTTAGAAAAACCAAAATGCACCCTGCACAATGGGATTGGTGACACACTTGATCCCATCATTTGGCAGGGCCTGCCGCAGGGGCTGCCGCGGGGGGTGCCGCGGGGGGTGCCGCAGGGGGTGCCGCGGGGGGTGATGCGGGGGCTGCCCCAGGGTTGGTCTGTTATGATCCATTTTTGTTCATTGAAGATCTTGTAGAGGTGAGCAGGGCAACAGGCCAACTGGGAATTTATAGGAAGACATTGAAATTGATGCAGGGGTCAGATGCGGGGCCCACTGCAAGGTCTACTGCAGGGGCAGGGGTGCATTATATCAAATTTCGATGTATCTATTCTGGCCATGGCCATAGAATGTCACATAATTATCCTTCAATTTGGCAGGGGTTTCTTGGTATGGTCTGCAGCTAAAGATATTTGATTCCCTTGTGCTTTAGCAGAGCCTGGGATATTGAAAACATGCAATAGCACCTGTATAATCTGTTTATGTAGGGTCAAATACAAGTTATGATTTGTTCATGTGTTGACCGGCAGGGTGGGTAGGTTGGCTGCACTGGGTCCACTGTCATCTCATTGATTTTTTGGTGCGCTCATTCTACATACATGGCTATTAGTCAATTGTTCACACTGTTAGCACAGTGTAATCTTACCCTGCGGCACATTGTACCACATGTCAAGTACACATTGAATGTCTCACTTCCTGACTGGGACTCATTGAAAATCAGAAGTTCTGTGATGCTTTGCAAATGATTTTCTCAAGCTGCAACATGAACAGATGGAACATAGCGGATTTGACATGCCCTCAATTCATTCCTGGGTCGTATATAAGAGGATGAACTAACTCACTAATAAGTTGTCTCACAATAGCCAGAGATTGAGCATGAATTCAGATTTCATATACAAAATTCTTTCCACTTAGAGCTTGGATACTTGCAAGACAAACTGCAGAAACATACATGATTGCTTTTGCTACTGGGACTGTATACGTTCTTGCCATAACTCACTGCCTGCAACTCTACCTGCACCCCCACTGGCACCCCTGCAGGCACCCCCCGCCAAACTGGCACCCCCCACTGCACCCCCGCATGCACCCCCGCCAGGCTGACACCCCCTGCCACACCCCCCGCTGCACCGGTGCCTTGCCCCTGCCATCTTCTCATATGTAAGATTACATAATCTGACAGCTCGGAACACGTCAAGTCACCAGCCAATCAGAACCTGTATAAACGTCGTACCTAAGTGTTTCCCGCTCTTCTGACACTGTTTCTACAGTTATGCAGCTGAAAACCATCGGAATAAGGTCTCCCTATGCTGTTCTTGTTGAATATGTAGGTATTTCATATCATTTGTCCATCCAAAATTCGAAACATGAAAACAGTTCACAGTTGCTCAAGGTTCCTACATAGATAATGGTTCAACATAGTTCACTTTGGGTATTGCAAAAAATATATTTTCTACAAATGAACAACTCAATACAGCTGAATGATATACCCCTTGGCAGTGTCTGAAACAAATTCTGAGAGCCCTGGACCCTGGAACCATTCAAAAACTTGAAATGGGTCCGAAAAATAGGGTCTTGATAAACATGAGATAGGGGCCAGTTTGAAGAGATGTAAGCCACTGGTCATGTTTAATGTGGTATTTGACAATGTTTCGGTGCCCTGCCCCTCACCAAATGGCCTCCTTTCCCACCAAAAAGTGCACATACACACTCAAGCTTATAAAATCAATTGTCGGCCAGAAACAAGAGCAGGCAAGTTGTGTCACTGGAATTGGGTAAAGGTAACCTGGAAGTCACTCGGGTTGCAGTACAGAAGCTTTGGAAAGTGATCCTGTAGTTGATCCACATTGGGTAGGCTGGCAGAGGCTTGGGCACCCCCCGCGGCACCCCCCGCAGCAGCCCCCGCGGCAGCCCCCACCATCAACCCTGCCCCAGCCCCTGCAAGGATTGGATGGACAAAAGTGCTGCCTAATCAATTGTTAGTGTTCACAGTATTATCACATCCATTAAAGTGTCTAAATGGTGTGTAGACAAGGAATATGAAATCCATCAATCAACAATCCTAACACCTGTATCAGATATCCTGAAAATGGAGAGGAAGATTTGGGAGCAGACAGACTATTGGAAGCAAACAGACAGGGACAAGGAGCAGTAGCTATTCCTGGCGATCAATTTGGCTGCACATGGAAAACTCCCTTGGGGGATTTGCCAAACAAATCAAGTTGCGCATTTTTCAAACATTAAATTTGACCTAATAGCTTGAGCAGACCATGCCCAAATGTACCAAGTTATAACTTGTATTTGACCCTACATAGACAGATTATACAGGTGCTATTGCATGTTTTCAATATCCCAGGCTCTGCTAAAGCACAAGGGAATCAAATATCTTTAGCTGCAGACCATACCAAGAAACCCCTGCCAAATTGAAGGATAATTATGTGACATTCTATGGCCATGGCCAGAATAGATACATCGAAATTTGATATAATGCACCCCTGCCCCTGCAGTAGACCTTGCAGTGGGCCCCGCATCTGACCCCTGCATCAATTTCAATGTCTTCCTATAAATTCCCAGTTGGCCTGTTGCCCTGCTCACCTCTACAAGATCTTCAATGAACAAAAATGGATCATAACAGACCAACCCTGGGGCAGCCCCCGCATCACCCCCCGCGGCACCCCCTGCGGCACCCCCCGCGGCACCCCCCGCGGCAGCCCCTGCGGCAGGCCCTGCCAAATGATGGGATCAAGTGTGTCACCAATCCCATTGTGCAGGGTGCATTTTGGTTTTTCTAAGCTCAAGTTCATGTTTAACTAGCCTATTTACCTATGGAAATTATACTGGGATGATTTGGGGAGTCTTCCATTTTTTTGGCGGAAAATCACGTGATTTTGCGCCCATTGTCTGCCACAGCATGCAATGTATCAAGCAGCATTTCCAAAATCATGCCAAATGCTGCAAAAAAGGTGCCCAAAAAGTCACGTGATAATGCGCCCACTGCCCGCCATGGTGTGCGGGGGGGTGGTAGTGACCCCGCCAATGACGCCGCCAACCCCTGCCAGCATTTTGGTAAT